GCATTGAAGCCGCAAATCGTTATGGGGGATCGCGTGAGATTCGATTTGTTTCGGATTAAAATTAATTGAATTTAGACATTGTCGTCAATAAATGTAATTTTGTAAGAAATGAATAAAATAATAAAACTAGGTAATATTTGGAAAAATTAGAACTTAAAAAGAATCAGAAATTTACTATATTATTTTGTAAAAAAATAAAATTAAATAAAATTAAATAATAATACAGTATTTTCAAAAATATTATTAATAATAGTATATAAATAAAAAAATGTAAATAAACATAGCATAAATTCTGGTCATGGATGCAGAGTCACTGTCACGGTCACCAAGAAATTGCATGTGCCGTTGTTCAGATTTTTGCATGCGCCCCTGCTTGTACTGCAACGTACAACCATGCTTTTCCATCAACAATCCATACGACGTCGGTTTAATCAGTTTTATTGTCTTCAAAAAAAATATATTGTACGTACGTACGTATGTGTGTGACGTGGAATGCATGCCAAATTGAGCTACTTATGTGTTTTTTATATTTAAAATTAATTAATTAATTTAATTATACAATCACTCAACATGCCTCTCACGAGTAAGATGGATTATACATCATATAAAAATTGTGTCCAAAAATTAAAATTTAAAAGAATATGCATTACTTATTTGTTTATATATTTTATTGACAATCAATAATTTTGTTATTTAGTAATTATAAAATTCACATAAATAATAAAATATTTTTAATTATTAAAATATTATTGAATAATGTTACAATTAATTTACTGTATTTCTCCATATTGGAGTAAATAAATAAATGAAATGATGACAGATCCACCCACCATGTAAAGTTATTACACATAAAGATAAAAGAAGATATCAGATATGCATGCCGTAATGGACATACTTTATTTTTAATTTATAATTGCCTCAATAAAAATAAAGAAGTAACGTTTTTCTTTATTATTTATTTATTTATTTATTTATTGTACGGGTGGCTGGAATAATTAATTATTATTGATTTGCAAAAGAGACTATTATTAATTATTATTTATATAATTAGACGACAGATAGTACGTAGCTAAGATGGCACTAAATGGACCCTTTTTATCAATGGAACCGTACGGATTCAAATAATTAATATACTATTTATATATATGGAAGAAAAATAAAATTTCAAAAATACAAAATCAAATTATATATAGCTAAAAAAATTCAAAAAGAAATCTGCGATGGTAGACTTATATAAGTTCGTTTATTTATTTATTTATGAATTACTATAGATTTGTAATTTTTTAAAAACTATTTTATTTTATCACCTATAAATTTATTTTGTTAATTTTTATTTTTTTATATTTAAATAATTGAATGGTGAGTACGTGAATGTCATTGTGCACAATTGAACAATTATCACTGCACAATAGTGCTGTCATGACAATGATAAATGATAATTTAATTAAATTAAAGGTGCCCTATATATGCATATGTACCTATATTTATTTATTAGTAATTTATTAATAATTAGTGGTCCTAAAATGGTCAGAATATACAATAAAAGTGCTTTTTATTTCCATGCAAATTGAAAGAGACATGGCAGAATTAAGACAAGCTGCAATTTGCATGCACTTTATGGATGTGATGAGCTTACATTATTATAGTTTTAATAAAAATAAATATAGTCGTTAAATATATAATGTTTTATGTCTAATTTAAATATTGAAAACAATATTTTTAAGCCTATAACTTATTCATAATAGTTGGGTAAATCATGATTTTCGCTGCATGTGTTTGATTTTAATTTCAAACCAAAATCAATAATATTTAATATGATATATACAGTTTTTAATAATAGTACAATATTTTTTTTAATAAAATATTATATTAAAATACTATTACTATATTAAAATTTAACTAAAAAACTTCAAATCCAAACAAACCCTAATTCTACCTTGCCCTACTTAATTTGTTCAGAAATACATACGTATTTTTGACCGTTTACATTATTTATTGATAGTAACAAAAACATACTATATGAAATACATATATATATATTTTTTTCTTATAAATTATGTTAAATAAATATATATTTTTTTAATTATTATTAGAAAATGTGCATAACACGTGGGATATCGTGTTTGAACAGTTGCACTATTTAAGATTGCAATAAAGTAAGAAGGGAGATGTAGAAAAAGCAAATTAAAATGGATTTAATAAACTTTACAGTATTGGAAACTTGAATATACATACGTCTACAACGTGAATTTCCACCTCTGTATTGTGTCACACAGTACTCCTAAGTATTATTATTATTATTATTATTATTTTAAATAATAAAATAATATTATGCCTCCACTTTATATGGTGTTACTTTAAGATTTGAATTTGAAGTTTATAAATAGCAAAAAATTTAATTGAAAATAATATTTAACAATTAAGTGTTTTATTTGAAAGAAACAAAGAATAATATGTTTTAAAATTAAATGTCGGTCAGAATAGAATTTCACATATCGATCAATACGTTTTAATTTAATTTTTTAGAATGATAATTAAATAATTAGAAGCCCCTTTTCGTAGCTTTGTGTGGATGGGGACTTAAATATATAAATATATAATTGTTCTATATATATAGTATATGTAATTATAGCTGGGATAAGATTCAGTTCAGATTTAATTTTGGTGGGATTCAGCATTATAATTAATTACTATAATTTTCTAAATAGATAAATTAAATTAATTAATGTTGATTACGTAGGCACAGTAGCTTAGTCACGAGTGTTGGTGGAAATAGTAACAGAAAAGGATCGATCGATGTTAGTGGTGGCCATGCCCATGCATGCATGTATTTTTGCTAATTTATTATTTTTTTTTAAAAAAAAAATTATTACTAATTATTTAATTAATTACCTGATAATGTAAAATTATTTTATTATTTTTATTAATATTATTATTAAGATATTTGTAGATGAGAGCAGTTGAAACATGCATGCATGTATTGGCAATCATGAAGGCATCGTTTTACCTACTCTCCTAACCCCATCCCTTCTGCTATATATATATATATTTATTTATTTATTTAATAGCTCTAAAGTATTTGTTTTTATATATTTTTAGCGGTTCAAACACGTAATATTTATTTTCTATTAAATATAAATTTCATTATATTTGATAAGTACTCTCAAATTTACAATTAATCAATATCATATATAAATTTATATATCAAATAATGTAGAATAATCTTTATATACAAAAATATACTATATTACAATGTTTTTTAATTATATCATATGCCAATGTATGTCTCAATAAGGTATTAGTCTAGGTGTTCTTTCTTCCACATAAAATTTTTCATACACAATTTGGGTTGACCTTTTTTTTTTTTTTTTTTTTTTCAATTTTGATTTTGATTTTTAAAATCAAATTTATAAATTTGACTTTCGACACACACCCATGCTTGCCTCGACAAATTGGTGACTTTGATTTTTATGCATAACAACATATAGTGATAATGTTACTTCCCATCATTACTCTCGATCTATATATAAATCTTTCACTATATTGAATTTTTGGTAACACCACTATTACGTCGATTTTGTTAAATGAGATTATATTTTAATTAATGAATTTTAGTCAATCATTTTAAAAATCCAAACAAGTGTGAAACTGAATTATTCTATCATATAACTCAATTGAATTTAATTAATTGTATATACTTTAATTATACTGAGGCCCTAATCTGTTACAGATAATAGTTGAATCAACAATCAAGTACATAATTAATTAACATCCTATGTTGACAATCATTCTCATAATTGAAATACCAATACATATGTTTATTTAAAACAAACAAGATCATAAACCCAATTAATATCTCACTAATTATTGTGTGCATATCGATTAGTATATATCACACACAAATATATATATATATATATACATATTCACACCAAACTTTTAAAATAAATATGCATATATAGCTGTCACATATATATAACACATTAACCCGTGTATATATATATATATATATTTTTTTTTTCATAATTATACACAATGATTGATAAAATACACGCACATAATATTCCTACACACTTATGATTATTAATATTATTATTACAAGGGACAGCATGTATAACACAATAATGTGAACACATCAAACTGCTTCAAATCGACAGATTCCTCGACACTTAGATGTCACCATCATTGTGCAATAAATTAAATATATTCAATCAAACCCCAAATTATTAGCTTCCATTTAGATATGTTGTTAGTAAGTTTCTGAATTTTGATTTTTCTAATAATAACAACTAAGTATTTAATATAATATTATTTTTTAAAAATGATGTATCATATAGAAATGAATAACACCGGAACTAAGTTTTAAAGATACATATATATATATATATATATATGAACATAGTCTTACTTTTAGCTGTTTTAAAAGGTCTCTTAATTTCTCACCCACCACAAAAAAAATATATAATTTCTTGTTTTTTATTAGAAGGGTCTACTGAAATTGATTTTATTTTTTAATTATGAAGTCAGTCATTTTTCAACACTACTATGATAGTCAGTAGTATAATTGTGGACTTAATTTTTATGTAAGTATTTTTTTTAAAAAAAAGTATCAAGTAAATTATACGTATACGTACATCATTATATATATATATATATTTATATGTATATGTATATGTAAGAAATAAGTAAGTAAGTAGGTAGCAGGAAACTTGGAGAGGGCCTCTTTACGTCTTGATTAGTTATTACATTTATCAATTTTATTTCTGTCATTTTATAAGCTCATTCAAAGAGTGCCTACGCACTGCAATTTATCTAAGCTTTTATTTCTACTACTACTCATATCTTTATTTATTTCCAGTAATATTTTAAATTAACTGAAATTTGAAAGTGGTGTTTAATTATTTATAGGAAATTGGAGTCGTAAATTATTAACTGCAATACTAATTTAGAATTAGTGGTATTAGATAAATTAATTAATTAATTAATAATAAATGGAGCGGGAGTCCAGGTCCAGCAGCGGACAATAATTGTACCTGCCAAGTACGCCCTTGCGTACCTCTCAATAGCCTTTCTGTGTACGCCCATTCGCCCTTTTTATTTATTTGTTTATTTTATTTTATTTTATTTATATATAACGCTTACAATCCATCGGTGTCTTCTCCGGCGCTGTAATTCGATTTGCTCTCTCCACCGCCGCCGCCACCGCCGCCGTCGAAGCAGAAATTGTCGTTGGATTGTGATTATGAAGAAGCTTCTGAGGAGATTGTCGAAGGTTGCGGACTCGTCGTCGCAGTACAGCTTGTTGAGATCGTCGGCGTTCAGGAAGAGGTCGGGAGGAGTACCGGAGGGGCATCTTCCCGTGTACGTCGGAGAAGAGATGGAGAGGTTCGTCGTTAACGCTGAGCTGTTGAATCACCCAATCTTCGTGAGGCTTCTCAACAAATCCGCGCAGGAATACGGTTACGAGCAGAAAGGCGTGCTCCGGATTCCCTGCCATGTCTTCCTCTTCGAGCGCGTCCTGGAGGCGCTCCGCCATGGATGCGACGTGCAGGACCTCCTCGACTCACTCACCGACGATTTGTGACCGATTCCACCACTGCCGCCGCCGTTGCCGAAGGTACGGCGCAGATCGATCTATCGATTTGATTTGGTATGATTTTCAATTAGATCAATCCGTAGCTTCTTTTCCCCCCTTTTCTCCCAATCTCTGTAAAAAAAACCTCTCCTCATCCTCCTCCTTCTTCGTCTTCCTTAGCTTCTCCGCTGTAAATAGTCAATGGCGGAACAAATCGGAGAAGCGTTAGAGGCTAGGGTTTTGATTCAGATAATTTTGTATCATCGAAGAGCAATTATCAACATCAACAAAAAAAAAAAAAAAGAAAAAAAAAAAAGAAGCTTAATCTACACACATTTTTCTGAATCAATTTCCAAAATCCAAATAATTTCAACAAAATCATTCATCAATAAATTCACAATTGCAAAAACAGAATCAATAACATACTGTCAATTCGTATTGCCGCCATTAATGTGGAGAGAGCAAGTTGGGAAGGGAGGAACTATTCCGGCCGTACAGTGCGTACAGGTTAACGGCGGCAGAGGAATTAAAGCAGCTTTGGATTCCCCAGAAGACGGAGGGGCCTAACGGTCATTTCGTGGGGCCCGGTTGGGGGTAGTTTCGTCTCATCAATATCTTGTACGGATATTGAGGTACTGACCCACTGGATCCACGCGGGAGGGTATTTCCGTAATTTGACATTTTTCGATTATTTAATTTAAATATTAGTGATGAATTGACTGTGAAAGAATTAGAGAAGAAAATTGGATTTTTCAAGTGGATGATCAACTCTCGAAATTTCCCAACAAAATATCTGCAATAAAATCATAAAACAAATAAATAAAAAAATATATATCTTTCTTGGAATAGACAAAGCTTGCAAAATCAATTTGGTTTATTTAAATAAAAACAATTTATGAGACATCAAATCAATGATGATACTAATAAAATTGTTAAATCTTGCGTAGATTAGGGTTCATATGGGATTCATTTACCTATAACAACAAATGAGGACAAAATTTCTGACTCATGTATGTGCATCTTCCACCTAATTTTAATAATTATACATTTAAAATTTTTTGGTGATGATTGCTGATGTAATATTCCTATGTGGCTTATGATAATTTTATCTAATTTGTTTGGGAAATAAAATGATATACTCTTATGTACGTATGTTATGTTGTATGAATTGAAAACAGACAACATAGGTAGGCCACAGCGGAGGACTTCCGTGGTGCATAAGCCGGAATGTCCTCATTAGATATAATTAATTATATATAATACTATTTTTTTAAATAAATAATAATTGGAACGTTGATTAAGGGTTGATCAAAATAGTGTAAATTGTTGATGTACTTGTCCTTTTATGGATTCAACTTGACCAAATAGCTCTACGTATACTTTCGGAATAATTTTATCATATTTTAAAATTTGTTTGTATGCTTTACAAAGTTTTTAATCTTATTGAAAGCTGAAATGTAAGTATGTAAGTTCTCAAATTATTTTAATTAATAAAATCCACAATTTCAAATGGGGTAGAAATACTTAACTCATTTGAATAATATTGAGTTTCATAAGCAAATTAATAAATTAAAAATAGGTTGAGTCAATGCACTTTGGAATTTACTAAAACATATTTCTCTTAGGTTACCAAATAAAACAATAAAAGTCGTAGAAGTATTTGTGCGATTAATTTACGCTACGCCAAATTCTTAGCCGTGTTTTGGACTATTTAAGCTTTAGAAAATGATATTATATATATATATATTTATTGTTGCAAATAGCATAATATATTTTCATATAAAGTAAACAATACCTCGACTAATTGAGGAAGCTTCCTTTTATTAGATAGTATGTCATTACTAACACTGCAGTTACACTTTTCTTGACTTGTAATCTAGGCAAGACAAATCAAAATTGGTGCAAAATCAAGAGTGTTTGTCTGTGGATTTGATTTTTTTAGTTTCAAATTTTTAATAGTAAAAGTTTGTATTTGAAAAAGTTATTTTATATAATATAAATAAATATTAATATAAAATTTTGAATGTAAAATTAATTTTTTAGTATAATATAAAACATAAAATTTAGTTACTTAATTTAATATTTTAAAAATAAATAAATAAAAAACTGAATAGTAAAAATTTTGTAAAAAAAATTTATCTTTAGTCCTTTGGGCTCGAGTTACATCAATGATTTCTGTATTTCCCGTTACAGTTGTATGATTTTTGTTCAACTTTTTACCATAATATATATCTTAGTCACATAAAAAATGGTGTGAGAATAATATAACTGCCGCACATGGTTCACTTAATGTGACTTGTCTTGTCAAGTCTAATTTGCAAGATATTAGATTCCGCCAAAGATTTATCCAGATAAAAATAATAGTACGTATATCTTATAACCTTCCAAAATCAACACATAAGATAAAGACATTGTCAACGCCATATTTATATATACCTAACGGCACGTATTCACAACCATACATATATAATACACACATGACAGTAGTAGCAATGATAAGCCAGCTGCACATTAGTGATTATACATATATATATATATATATATACACATTCACATGTAGAAGATGGATAATAAACTTGAATCAATTAAAACCATGATCCCATAATTCTTGTCAGTTTAAAGAATGCAGATCAAAGAATTGTGAGATATGCATAGCTGTTAAGAGCAGACAAAACAAATACTACTAATCAAATTCTAAATAAATGTGATTTGATTTTTGAGTGCGAGAGATCATTCATTCGGAGGGAGGTGCACATGCAAATGCAGACAAACACACACAAAGACAGATAGATAGATAAGCTTTCTTCTAAATTGATACCTCGTTTCCGCAACGATGATGTCTCGAGGTCTTTTTCTTCGAAATAATTCCACAATGCATGTGCTCGTTATCTTTCTCCTGTAACATAATAACAACTATGGCACCAATCCAAATCAACACCTAAATGAATTTCACTTCTTGCAAAATTAAATTCAATTGTTTCACATACCTCATATTGTAATAGGCGAATAATCGAATTCTGAATAAACCAAAACTGCCGAGGCCACAAAAATGTATCTGGGCCACTTTACCTAGTCTTCCTCTTCCCCTTCTTCTGCTTTTTGTATTGTTCGTATAGGTTTACAGCTGAAGTCAATTGCTGTAACTCGGACCTTAACCGCTCATTTTCTTTGATATCGTGTAGCAAAAGAAAGTGCTCCCCGAGTTTCCTTCTAACCTCACTATCATCTATTTGAACAGTAGAAGTGAGGTCGATTCCAGGTTTAACAGGCGGGGAGTCAGTTCTTCTACTCCGCTTGTTGGTAGCCTTTTTTATGTCTAAAGATTGTGTGAAAGACATGGTTTCATGTGATAATTCGTTGTAGGCTTGCTGGGGGTAGACCTGTGCATGATGAATCTGATTGGAAGTCCCCATGGTCGAGATGCTGGAGGCAACTGAAGAAACAGAAGGGTGGTAGTGTTTCGTTAGAAGGTTGAGCTCCCAAAGAACCGATGCTAGAACGCCGCTTTGGTTAGGGTCCGTTGCATGAGGTTGGTATTTCTGCAAATAAATCAATAATTGGTCATTATTGATGCGTTAATTTTGTAAGCAGATGTGGCAAAGAAGATTGGGAAGAACGTACGGCAATGGTGCCAGCAACAGATCCACCTCCGGCATCGTTTTCTAACAGGTTTCGGCACTTGACGTTCTTCTGAAGAAGATGCTTGGCAGTGACCAATGCTGAAAATTTGTTCCAGTTAATAAGATTTCATAAAATGAAAACAGCGATTTATATTCAAAATCGAGGCTCACCAGCCATGGACTCTGCAGATCCAAAACACAAACAAAATGTTGCCAAGCGCTTTACAAAGGCTGCAGCCCGTTGCATATCATGCTGTCTATCATCACAAAGCATTATCTTGAAAGCTTCGGCTAAAAGCTCTCCCTGATCCCTGCGGTATCAAACGAAATGAATGTCTTAAAGAAAATACATGCAAAAACTACCATTATCTAAGCTCATGACAGACAAACGGCAGGAGATGAAATATGTGCAAAACACGTGATGTCAAAGTCGAATCTTGCAAGGAGCATCAATTTCGGAAATAAGGATTGTAAGACACCAATTTTTTACATCAAGTTCCAAGTCAGTGTGCAAACGTACCGACTTATTCAGAAGTATTTTTCTAGTGATGTTCAAAATGGACAGCACACATTAGCAAGTAATATGAAAAGATACCGACAAGAAACAGAAAGAACATAATATGCTATCAACAATCATTTATAGGGCGGCAGAACTTGTCAAAAGAACAAAGAAAAGATCAGGAAAAGAGTGTGACGAAAAATATCCTATTTCCAAATAATGAAGTAGAAATGTATATTTCAGAGCAATTTTATCTGGATAAAAATTCTCTACCTTCCTGGTCGATACTCTAGTAGCAGATTGTAAAACTGCACGAAGAACTCCTGTAGATCAATATTGAGAGCATCTAGATTGCTCCTCATCACTTTAAAAGCAACAATGCAGCAGTGCAGCCGTTCAGATACTGTTAGTTCGCAATAATTATCGGATGATTCACCTGACTTCATGCCATTGCCAGCAAGTTTTCTTAGGCTTTGCATGAGATCAGCCATAAAATCCAAGTCAAGTAGGTGAGAAAACTTCCCAATTCCAATCAAACATGGAGAAAGCAAGGGATGGCTTCCAGAGGCACCGGGTAAATGACCCACTTGTGATCTAAGTAAAAAGGGATAACTCAGAACTGTAGAACCTTTAATAGCTAAAACTTTTAATTGTTTACCATGATACTTACTTTGGCATCAAGGCATGCTTTAAGATGCGGAAGAATATCTGAAATACAGCCGACAGAGTCTCTGTCTGCATCCTTCTTCGCTCTTGAGGATCTTGAGCAAATGAAGCAGCTTTTAATTCTGCATCTACCTAAGGAGTATCCAATTGTCAAAAGTAGGTATCAGAGGTGAGGTGGATTGGCTACTGATGGTTATCAACATACCTCCTGCCTCGTCTTTGACTTCATTTCTTTCCTAACCTTCTTCCGCTCATTAACACGATTTGATTCTTCCAAGCTGTTTTCCTTTTTGGATTTTTTTGTTTTAGTTTTGTCATTCATCCCTGAATGTTCCGCTTTCTTAAGATCATCATCAAATGACAGTGACAAGAGAACCTATGGGCATAATGATAAAACATTAGAAATGCATTGTAAAATAGAAAACCAGGAAGACAGCATACAAACATAATGACGGCAGAGCAGTTATCCCAGCAACATTAGGGATTACAAAAGTGGTAAATCCTTACTTCAACAGAATCAGAATGTAGCAGGCAGTTATTCTCTTTTACAAGTTCTGCAATCATAGTTACAGCTTCCACAGTAGCCTCACCACCATGTTTCGCTTCATCAATGAAAAGTGACTTAATGGTCGAGCAGCAAAGAGATCTGGAAATATCAGACTAAATTGTGTGATTATCTAGTAAAGGGAGCAATTGGTTGGAGTTATTGCATGAAACAATCAAAAGGAAAATTAATGAAAAATGGATTATCACAACGTTAGCATTTCTCAGTAACTACAGAAAACAATGGAGCCATATTCATTAAATCACACCATACACTTTTTCACTAAATAAAACAAACAATAAATTAACCAATAACTAACACCTGATCACTACAAATCTATCATTCAACATATTTCTTAGACATAAAACTTCTGCGGGAACCATAAAATTTACTTTGAAGACATTTCATTGGAGTAATTTTAATTACCTAACAACATCATCTCGAGAGCTCATGTTTTTCACAACTGCAGACAACAAGCTCTCACGAAAGTTAAAGTGTGGCACAGCTGCAAGCAAAGTACACAAGCAGCGTACAGCTACTCGCTTAAATAATGTCTTTCTCTGCAGCATTATCAACTTTTGAATGTATGCCTGACAAGAAGAACAAAAAAATACTTTCACCATGATTGCCCTTGTAGTCAGGCAAAAAGTGCTTTCAGAACACTTGGGAAAATGCATTCTGGGTATGCTTAAGAAGTATCACAAATGTAGCATAATGTAAGTGCCAGCCAAAACCTTGTAAGCAGATAGTAGGGTGGACTCAAAAAATCGCATCCTTTTAACATCTTTTGAAACCTTCATCTCTAGTTCCTTCTCAGTGGGCAGTCTAATCCGATAGCTACATTGAGAAAAATACAAAAGGAGGGTTAACTCACATGTCCAGAAAAATATGGAAAATAATCAGACCAACTCATGAGTTGTTGGTTAATACAGCGTTCTCACCCTGGGATAATGTCTTTAAAAACAGCTAATAAGGATTTTAGAGCAAGCATAGAAATCGCACTATCACTAGTCTTTGATATCTCCAGCATCTCCTTTATGTGCTTAATATTTGATTCTGGATCAGCAAGTAGTTCGGTGCCCAACTCAGCGAGCCTAAACTTCTTCCTCTCATTTTCTTCTTCAGCTGTCAGTTCTTTTTCCACCTCAACCTAAACATATGAATGATATAAGATAATTCCATTAAATTACTCGTCAAATTGAAAAGAGATAATTCACACTGAACCATAAACCTCACTGATCTCACATGCAAGCGAATCACATTTTCTAACCAAATTGATTCCATTCTATAGTGAAGGCAGCCATATATTACAAGGATGAATGCAAGGATTTCCAAACACAGTCACAGATTGTTTAACACAGTAAGGTAGATTGGTGGTAAGAAGATTCTTATGCATATGATACAATAAATGAAAATTGCACAACAATCATTTTTCTTAAAATATCAAACATGAATAGACGAGGATCAAACCAAGACATAAACCAATAAATGTGCTTCACCATTTTCACCTTTTATGGTCTATAAACTCAAGTCCCCAATTTTGTACTCATCCATCTTTCATAAAAGAATATTGAATAAATGGAAGCCAAGTCCACAAAACAAGTGCAAAGAAAAAGGAAATGCACCAGAACTTCAGCTTGAGGGACTTGATGTGCTTCTTCCTTTGATTGATTCTTTGCCTCTTTCCTCAATTTCTTTTGCTTCTCACGCTTTTCTGCTTTTGTCAACTTCAAATAGGCAGGATCCTTGCTTGCATATTCTTCTTCTTTTGATTCATCTTTAGCCTCTTTTGGCTCATTTAACACTGACAGAAATTAAAGTCCATTAATGTGCTGAAATTAACAATTAGTAGTCCACACAGAAACCACAAGGATACAAAGAAATACCTCTTCTATAATAAAGTTTTCCATCCAATGTTTTCACAGGAAGAGCATCAACTGGATCTACCTCCAAAGCAAGCTGATCCTTCTCTTTATTTTCTAATTTTTTTCTCAACCTTTTCTCATATAATGATTCTAAGTCTGTGTCATTCGCATCAGCCACTCGGCTAACATGCCTAAATCACAAATGCATTGAAAAGACATGCTGAAATTTTTTAATCCTCTTTACTGAAACAAAAAACTTTATACGTCGAAGAAATCCATACCTAGTGATGGATTGAGTGTCTAACTTGGATACAAAACCTGCATATTCCACATTCTGATTGACAAATTCCACGTCTTCATCAGAAACTTCAACTTCATTATCAGGAGTTTCTGGAGGTAGCTCTGGAGGCAATATTAATTTCTGTTTCTTCTTCCCCATAATTGGTTGCTCACTAAAACAAATAAAAGTTAAAACTTGTGTATTTATGTTTTTGGGTTTGTGTGTGTTTCTCGATTCAAAATCTTTACTAAATAATCAATTATCAGTTAAATAAACTTTCAACAGAACATGTCATGATAAAATAAACAAAACAAAAAAACCATAATTATAAAACTACAATTATCTTTAGAGAAATACACGCAAATTGAATTTTCTAAATCTAATAAAATCATGTCATGTTAAAAAGGGCTAACAAATAAATCATTGTGAACGGTGAACACTGCAAACTCATAGAAAGCCAAAGCAAAAGCTAACTTCATAAAATTTAAATTTAGTATCCTTTTTCATAAACTATCAAACAAATAGTATTGCATAATGAAGCAATAAGTTGAAGGTGTGTTTCAAGTAGAGCACAGTGCAATACTTAGCCATTATGCATCAAAATCGGAAGCCACATTAGAGGTCGGGTGCGCCAAACAGCAAAAGTTGAACCCAATGTCAACTCCCCACAATGGATATCAAAGATTTACAAACCACATAAGTTCATACCCAAAGATCAATATCAAGGGAACAACAGAGAGAGGCCATATGTTTGAAGAAATATAGTAATTCTATTACGATTAAACCTAAACCCTTCTTTAACAGAAGCTCAAGCATACAATTAATTCAATAGTAGCAGACTATCAACAAAAACCAACACAGATCTGATACAACATTCTATAACACCTGCAAGTCGAACACCTCACCGTGGATCATTATTCAACTCAACAAAAAGTACTCAAACTTAAAAAGATACCCACAGGCAAGCAGAGTGACACCAGAAATGACTTTCTCCTATTCTTCTCCAATATTAAACTCAATAATGAAACTACAACGACCATAGGATTCATTTGCACAAATTCATGAACAGTAAATACAAATTCAAATAGAAAACACTCATCACTATCATCTATTGCATTCCAATTTAAACTCAGTTGAACATACCTGGAAAATATGCGATGATTATTGCCGAGAAGCAGCCGCCGTGCCCCGCGGATTGAAGCAAAAGGGAACAAGCAGGGTTTAACAATTCTTCTAACTTCCTCAAAGGCGTCTTAGCTTATGGTCTTCAACTCCCAACGGGACCGTACGGCCCAACTATGATACATTGGGCCTCAATTTAGATAAAGTTATTGGATTCAGCCCAAATATAAAACCACTTGGCTCACAAGCCCAACTTAGAAATAGTTTTGGGTGTGTTTATTTTGTGGCATGGTTTTGGATTTGAATATTAAATTTTTAAATTAAAATAATTGTTTAATATGATATACATGTTCATATAAATTTTAATTTTAATGTAATTTAATAAATAAAAAATAGATATTTAATTTGATATTTTAAAAAATAAAAAAAGTTTAAAATAATAAAAAATAAAAAATGAAAAAAAATTTTCGGGATGGTTTCTTTGGAAGTCTTTTTAACATATCTTTTTTATGAAATATTCATTTTCAAAGAATTAAATTAAATAGTTATTTTAAAATTAATTATTTATATTAAAAAAACACTTATTACATCCCATCAAATAATGTTTTAAATTTTTTAAATTTTTAATTTTTAATTTTTTGCTTTTCAAAACATAGAATGTATTTAATTATAATTTCAAATTAAAATTATTATTATTATTTATTTTTTAGGATTTTCAATTCAAAATATATTATTTTTCTTATAATATATTGTATTGAAGTATTATTTACACAAAAAAAAAATGCAAATAAATGTTTATTTCAAAATAATTTTAAACTACGGTCCAACAAACTCTTAAATAACGAGTAAAATTGTTTTGTCGGAACGATATTTTAAATATAAAATTAATTTTTTTTAATATAAAAAATATATATTCGATTTAATATTTTTTAGAAATTTTTTCAAAAAAGATAATAGAAAATCTTTACATGCTTCGAACAAACTGAGCCGATGTGTTTACTTTTTTTCCTTCTTTTTTTTTTCAAATTTGATTTTTGACATAATAAAAATAATATGATAATTGTATAATAATACTCACTCCGTCCCATTAAAAATGTGTCATTTATTTTTTGTACGTAAATTTTTTAATATTAGTATTATATTGAATTGTAGTAAAAAGACAAAAATAACCCTATTAGTATAGTGTAATATAAAAGTAATGACATTTTTGTAATATATTATAAGTTGAAAGAGTATTTATTATGTTAGATATGCAGTATAATTACTAAATTAGGAAATAGTAACCTTTTAATGGTACGGATGGAGTATATATTTTAAAAAAATTCAAAAGACAAATAAATTTGAGTTCATATAACTTTAATTTAACTACATAAAAATATATGTATGTTAACCTACGCATGTGATATGTCAGATCCCAAAAAATATCAGCATGGTAGTAAAGTGTATAATTAAGACATTAATGTAAAATAATTAATCATCGATTATAATAATGCAATATGCGGAATTATATCATAAATTTATTGAATGGTCATTAATAAAATACTACCAAATTTAAAAAATCAATTATTTAATATTATTAAAAATACATAAATTTTATTAGAATATTTCCTAAATATTAGTATTAATTATTATCGTATTTAGTTAACTGGTACTTCATGTTAGGTGCATTCATAATTAGTGGGCATTTAATGCCCCCAAATAGCGAACACGATTTCATAAAAATTAGGTAAAACACGCTTTTCCTGGATAGTACAACGAAAAGCAGCTTCCCTACCACGACTTCGGTAATAAGGATTTATATATGAATATGACTGATACTCGATATTAGTATAAATGGATTTTATTTTATTTTATTTTATTTTATTGAAGTTTCTTCCGGTATTAATTGAGGGGCGCGCGCAGCAATTTCAGTGGCAATTTTATGCCCTGTGTGTAACGTGTTGATAGTATTTTGGAGTTTATTTGATTGATTGATTTGTTTCGTTCATTTATTACTTTTAATCTCTAACATTCATATGAAAAAATTTGTCAATTCATAATAATAAAAAAAAATTACCTAAAAATCGTGCAAATATACTTTAGGATAATAGAAATTGGATGAATGAAGTATTAAAAATACTCCCTCCGTCCCATATAATATGGGTGTATTACTGTAAACACAGAAATTTAGGTAAAGTATAATTAGTAAGTAATTAACAAATGTATTAGTAAAAATAATTATTATCTAGTAAAAATAACTATACATTAAGATTAAGATAAGTAAATAGTTTAATTAAAATTAAAAAAATTAAAAAATATAAAATGCGATTAAAGTACATAATTATATTTCCAAAAATAGAAAAGACAAGTTATGTGAGACGGACGAAAATAGAAAATAGAAACAAATTATGTGGGACGAATGGAGTATATTTTTAGTTCAATATTTTAAATAAAAATAATATTCTTGTCGACACACAAACTTTTGTGGCCATAAAATTGAACATACAATACCATTTACAGTGATTGATTTTGGTCATAAGTTTTGTAATAAATTAAACAATAATACTCCCTCTATCCCGGTGCAAGGTTGCCATTTATTTTTTATAAATAGATTTTTTAATATTAGTATTATAATGAATTGTAGTGAAAAAAAAAAAAATACCTCTATTAGTATTGTGTAATATAAAAGTAATGATATTTGTGTAATATAGTGTAAGTTGAAAGGATATTTATTATGTTAGAGGTGGTAATACAATTACTAAATTAGGAAATAGTAATTTTGTTTTTGAACGGACGAAAATGGAAATTGACAACCTTTCAGTGGGACGAAGGGAATAGTATTTTTTTGGTTTAGTAAAAGTGTGTGACATTATGTATAAAATAATTGTATGTGTAATGATATATTTGTAATTTAAATAAAAATTAAGAATATTTTAATATTAGTATATTATTATCTTTTTTAAAATAAAAAAATTGATACTTTAAAATAAAACAGACAAAAATGATAAAAATGATACTTTGACTTGTAAACCTACAATTCTTGGGCTTTATTATTGTTATTTATTTTACGTAAAAATCCGTAGTTTTCTACTTATGGTGGGTTTGTTTGGGGATTGGATTTTCAATCCACTGTTCAACTCATTTTTTCTCCCAAAAACATCAAATCAAATACCTATTTTTCATTTTTTTATATTATACTAAAAATTAATTTTACATTCAAAACATCACATCATCACCTATTTATATCACATCATACAATTATTCAAATTCAAAATTTTTACTATTCAAATCCCAACTCAAAATCCAAACTCCCGAACAAACACAAGTTTTTGTAAGTTTTGGAGAAGTGTCATCATTGTTTGAATTATATTTTAAAAAATAACTCTATTATATAATTTTATGTATCTTTAATCTATTGTGTATGAAACTTCAAATGAATTTTTCTTAAGGATTCGCTTTACTTTTCTGCATTAATTTTTGTGTATATGTGTATGTGCATTCAAATCTAATGCTGCTATCTTTAAGTTCAAATAATTGAGTTTAAATATTCAATTGGATTCACATTTTATTTTTTATTTTTTTAATATTAGTTTTTAAAACATTCATATATATATATATATTGTTTAAATCATATGGTACAAAAATAATTTACAAAAGGCATGCAAACACACATTTGATTAATTAATTATAGCTAAATTTAAATTCTTTTATTCAATAGTATTACAAAAATTATTCAAGTAAAAGGTATAAAATCTGGTGAAATATTTAGTCGATGAAATTCACTCTATTGCTTAATAATATAAAATCTAAATTAGCATAGCATTGCCTATACAGAGTTTAAAATACATTATATAATCAATCGCATTATTTATTATATAATATTTAAATTCAAAATTTATTCAATATTTTACTATTTGTAAATGAAACCTTAAGCTTATAACTATTGAAAAAACTAGGATAGTGGGGCCCAACAGAAAAACCTGGGAAATAAATCATATGATGGTGTAATAATGATAAATGACAATTAAAAGAGGGGCCGATCGCAATTAATAGCCCATTAATGCGGTTACTTATAATTGATTGTTTTTTTTGTACTGTTGTCATTTAATCAATATATATATATATATTTAATATCATAAAATTACAATAAACTTAAAACAAAAGCAAAAATAATACGTAAAGAAAACAAAAAAAAAAATACATTTGCGAGAAGTACTATGTGTTGATTGAGTCTATTCAGCAACCTATTGAGTTAATGTAAGTTGATTTAGTATTTAATTAATATAAATTATTAATTTATTAATTTATTTATTTTTCTTATGTATTGTCTTAATAATATTTAAAATGATGTATGCAACATACTGAATATGTAATTCAGCGTAGCAAAATTTGAGTGGGTATATGGGCCCCAACATCCAATTGGTATTAATAACTTGTACGTCTCTACAACCACAATTAATTGATAATAATATCCACATGTATTGCTTGCTTGCACGTGTACCATTTATTTTATTTATTTATTTTCCTGAACCAATAAATTCCAACAACAACATAGCATTATTTAATTGATATTATTATTATTATTAGTAGTAGTAGTATTTTAGTCGAAAGAAAGCCCTTCAACTAGTAAATATTTGATGGTAAGTTGGAAAATTATGTGTTTTTTTTTATAAATTAAAATAATATATTTTATATGAAATATTTTATTAGAAAAAGAAATATATTCTAATTTTCTTTTAAAAAATATAAAGATCAAATAGTAAAATTTAAAAAATGTGTAATAAATGAAGGTTATTTTGTAATATAGTATAAAATATAACATTATTTTTTTATTAAAGTAAAAAAAATTACTAAAAGATTATATTAATACATATAAATTATACAAAATAAAAAAATAAAATAGTAACATATGACTAGGACAAAGAGAAGTATATTAAAAGTGTATTAAAAGAAAATTATTATTAAGTCTGTCACTTTATAGCCTTTTGAGTTTCTTTTGGCTATTATACTATTTAAGAACTATATATATATATATTTTTTTTTTTGTCAAAAAATATTAATTTAAATTATTACTAAAATTTAATTTCAAAGTAACACGTAGAAAAAGCCAAAAGGAACAAACCCCCTTTTGTACTACGCATATAATCCAAAACCATTCACTCTACGTTAGGTTCATATTAATGCAAAGAGATTTGACAAACCTAAATAATTCATTTCCAAAAGTTTTATGTAACCATTTCTATAGACAAAATAATAAAAACATATACTATCAATTTGTAAAATTCTATCTTTATACAAAAAATTTACCAGAATTTGGTGACAATAATCAGCACCTGCATATAGACTCCCTCCCTCTCAAATGGACATATTGAGGTCAATCCGAGGCTTCTTTCCGGTGCCGGAGGCGCCACCGGAAACCGGCAACGGCACATCGCCGTTGCATCGGGGGCATTTCGGGTTACTCTTCGAGATCAACACGTACATCAAGCAACGGGGGCACCCGGCGGCAATCGGAATAGAGGACTTATCTTCGCAATCAAGATTGCGACGATCGTCTTTGGTCGACGAACAAGAATTCAAGGTCGGCGAAGATGACTTGGAGGTCGATCGGGATCGCTTTTTTGCAGACGCTTTCTCGGCCCTTTCGAGAGCCGACTTCACTTTGTCGAGAGTGCAGACGCTCTCGAAATTTGACGGTGTGGACGATGCCCCCGACGATAGAGAAGACAGCTGCAAGTCGAGGCTGGAGTCGTTGAAAAGGTTTAGAGTCGGCCTCGATGTCGCCGGAGGGAAATTGAGGTCTTGCAAATTGACACCTGGCGTTGTCTCGCCGCATTGCGGCGGATTGTTCTTGTCGGAAGTCGATATGTCGCGCCGTTGGATATAAACCTTTCCCGACTGCAGGCAAATAACAACAGATGTAAGCAATTGAAACATTCTAAAGAAATTTTGAAACAATTTCTTCTATGAATTTTAAAATTGAAAGTTTGGGTCAGTAAATAGATCTTAATCTGTAATCAAGCATTCATGGCCGTCAAGCACAGAAAATCAGGGGAAAAATATCATATCATCAATGTGTAATAACTGAGGAAATAAATTGGGGGCGTTAAACGAGTGGTGAATGATCATTAATTGTCGAATAATTGCAGCAGAATTGAAGAACACAATCGTATCATCAAGAGCATCACCACCAAATCGAGATTGAATACAGCAGATTCAAACAACAACAGGTGAAGAAATAATCGAAAATTCTTTTGAATCTCAAAAATTGAAAAAAAGAAAAAACCTAAAAATTAATATCAACGATGAAGCAAAGGGATTCATGAACCAATACCTTCAAGTCCAGGCGCTTTTCCCAGCCACAAGGAACCTGAAGGTCCAGGTCCAACTCCTGAGAATCAACGGCGCAGCATCCGCCGAGCAAGTCTCGGGTGATCGGAGCCGTCGATTCCGCCGCCTCGTTCGCATCGCCGCCGGTCATCAATCTCACAAGAGAACTCACATCCGCAGCCATAGCAGAAACAATCAGCGAAGAACAACCGAAATCACAAAAATCAAAAAACGATTGCGAAATTTGGGTTATCCGAATATATATAAGGAAGAAGGAAGATATGGCTAAGCTGAAAACTAATTGCGAGGATTCTGTATTCTCTATCTCGTCGACGGCAAATTAGAGAGAGAGAGAGAGAGAGATTGAGAGAGCATTAAATCGATAAATTTGGGGATGAGATTGTGTACGAGGGGTGGAGGGGCCGCCAGTTATGGAGGCAATGAATGCAGCGAGCGAGGCAGAACACAAAAGGACAGCTGTGTAATAATGCTCCGCGCACAAATACAAAGACCTTTTTGGCTTCCATAGATGCCTTCATTAATGCTGCTGTAAATCACTGTTTCCTCCTCCTCCTCACACTTCTCTCCATTTTGGATTTTTTTTCTCTCTTAATTGATGCATTCATTGCCCCCTTTGTTTTCTCACATTAATGGCTGCCAGACTTCAGTTGAAAGACTGATGGCGTGTTTGTTTGTAATTTGGGTTTTTCTTTTTTTTTTTTTTTTTTTTTGCCTTTTAGATTTTGAGTTTTTCAATCAAATTCTTCCCAATATAGGAAATATTGTACTGCTGACTTCGTCTGAATCATTAATTAATTAAATTAATTTTATTTTAATTTGTTAAAAATTAAACTACTTCCTCTTATCCTATTTATTTTTTGGTACATCTCATAAGATGATTTTTTTCTATATTTGGTATATTTATCAATCTTATAAATAGATACACTCAAAACTTCTTAATGATAAATAAATAAATATATATTTTTATTTATTTGTATTATATAAAATTTTATTGACTATAAAATGATATCCATATTTCATATATTTTATTCACATACAATTATAAAAATAGTTAAAATATCAACAATACTATCCATATAAAAAATAATAAAATAACTTATTTTATTATTAATAACTTAATAACCTACCCTATTTAAAATACCGTATCATTGACAAAATCTTTAGCAGGATGGAGGAAATACCATATAAAATAAAAATTATTAGAATATAGTATACATAAAATAAAAATTATTAAATCAACTTTATTAATATAATATAAAGATAATGATATTTGTCTAATATATTATAAATTTAAAAAATATTTATAATATTAAACAAATGGTATAATTACTGAAAAAATAATACTTGGATCCAAACCAAAATATATAGACTGTTATGGATGGAGAGTATAATATACAATTTTTCAAAAATAAATCTGTATATAACTATTATTATTATTATTATTTTTTGGCAAAAAAACACACTGCACATTTTTTAGTAATTATATTTTTCATTTTTTTTATAATCGTATTTCACGACTAATTTTAAACGTGTTTTTCTCAGAAAATTAATAATATTTCATAAGTGAATATTAAAATACTCGAATTTATACAAATTAAATGTATCTTATTAAAAAATAGTAACATGTTTTTATTATAATTTTTTTAAAAAAAATATTTTTAAAACAATTTTTATAAAAGACAAACAAACACCGCTAAGGCAATGTTTGGCAGATTCGTGGCAGTTGTTTCCCCTGTGCACACGGAATTACGATTTTACCCCTGGATAGAGTCGTCTTTATTTAGCCTTTCCGTGCCTATAGTTAATTATGCGTATTTATTTATATTTATTGTTATTATAAATAAAGGAGTTTTGGAAATACAATTAATCGATACAATTATGAATCAGCTGTATTTAATTTTATGAAATTTTCGCCTGATTATTTCTATATAAGTACCGTATTCAATAATTTAAAATAAATTGAAATTTTAAATGCTAATGTGCCCTACACCTCTGATAATTAAATGGCAGCTAGTGTAATAATACTATAGTATCATCGTAATAATACTAACTTTTATTACTATTATTATTATTATTATTATTATTATTATTATTATTATTATTATTATTGTGGTTGCGAAAATTGAATAAACGTGATGGTTATATTTATGGAGAAATAAATGACCATTTATGGTGGCAATAACTATGCGTATATTTCCGAATTTATTAATTGAGCAAATCAGCATAAATTATTATTAGGAAAGTATTCTTAAATTTTTATTTATTAATGATTCATATTTATTCTTCCACACAAGAAATTCAAAATATATGTTCGGTTACATGTTAGAACACCGGATATTAGGACATTGTTTTATTTTGATTTAAAATATATTTTAAATAATATTTTAATTTAATTATTTGATTGTAATTTTAAATTAAAATCAATATTGTGCAATTTTTTTATTGTTTTTGTTCTTTGTTTAAAAGAATAGTACAATAAGTGACGGTGAGACAACAAGATTAATATTTTATCGGTTAATAAAAGTATATAATATGTTATGATATTTCTATTCTTAAAAGTACAAATGAAATTTATATTTTGTAAAAATTATAGGTACTTTAGTTTTTAAATAAGATTATTTTAGTATAATTCAAAAATACCTTTTTAGTATGTAATATTTAATCTATTTAAGTCGATACGAGAATTAATATAAATAAATATTTTATTGAAAATATCGAAGAAGTAAATAAGTAATTAATAGTGTTTTTGGAAATTAGTTAGTATTATAAGGAATGAAAGAGAACAAATATAATAAATTTAATATTATGTGTTGTATAGGGGTGGGCAAAAAAATCGAACCGAATCGTCGAATCGTTGAACCGAATTGAATCGAATCGAATTTTCGGTTAACCGAGCAAATTCGGTTCGAATACAAATACTGTATATTTGATATTTGTTCGGTTCGGTTCGATTTCGGTTTTTTATATTTTTTTCGGTTCGGTTAACCGAACCGAATATGTTTATGTATTTATAATATTATATTTTAAAATTTATATTAATAATTATATACGGTTCGGTTTCGGTTCAGATATTTGAAATATTTGCAAATATTTTTTATTTAATTAGAATTTTATTTTATTTTTTATATTTTTTCTTAATTTCGGTTCGGTTCGAGTTATTTGCAAATATTACAAATATTTTCGGTTCGAATACGATTCGCGATTTCGGGTATTTGTTCGGTTCGATTCGGTTATCAAATACCTGCATATTTGTAAATAACCGAACCGTGCCCACCCCTAGTGTTGTATATAAATATTGAATAAATGATAATAGTTAAATATTAATTTTTTTACTTTTTCAACTATAGTAACAAAATACATTTAGGGAAACGAACAAATAAATAAATAAATTTGCAAGAAGAAAATATATATATTTTAATTAAATGAATAAAAATAATAAAAATATATTGAATTAGAACAAAAAGAATACTATCTCCGTCCACCGCTAATTTATTTATTTGTATTTGGCGTCATTGTTTTTAACATTAAAAATATCATTATATTTGTATAATTTTTTGTACAAATATTATTACATTAGTATTATAAGACACCAATATAAGTATTTTTGTCATTTTTTTTATCTGTACTATATTTTGATATAATAATTAATATTCAAATATTAACATACAAAAAATAAATAAACAAATTGACGATTGACGGAGGTAGTAATATCTTTAAAAAATGATGATGAATAGGAAAGATTTAAGGATGCATTTAGCATAAGAATACAATTGCAGGTAACGCTAGTAGCTAATAAAATTCTAGAGAATATGAATCCAGTGAAAAAATAAAAATTGAATTTTTTTTAGTTGAAAAAAATTAAACAATCACCGAAATACGATAAATTAAATAATAAAAATATTATTGTATTTTTTTAATTATATTTCTAGTTTGATAATTTTTTTTTAATAATAGTAATTTAGCTATGATATTTTTAAGATTTAAATAATATAAAAAAAATTTAAAAAAAAACATAAAAATAAATTATAGAAATTAAACGTAAAATAAATAAAGACACACTACGCAATTTTATTTCGATGCACACAACAGAAAATAAATCTAGGGTATAGAACATTGTTTATTTGTTACTAATATTGAATTCTTCGTATCAATCAATTAAAAAATAATAAATATATATTGTTTTTTATATTCTTATTTGTGTGTACGAAACACCCTTAAGTGCAGACAAACTGAGACAGCATTGATCATTAATAAAGTGGGCCCATGGAATTTAATGCTGTTATACTATTATCGCTTTGATTACCTAGGTTGAATAGGCCAAATTGGTATGGTACTCATGTGATTAAAATGACTATGGGTATGTTTCTTTTAGTCTATTTTTTTCAAATTTTATTATTTTGACTTTGTGTTTTATTTTATTTTATTTTTTTTCCACAAAATATCACATCAAATATTATTTTTATATCCAACACAAATCAATTTTTTTTTTTTTCAAATTCATCAAAAGAAATTGTTTTTTTAGTAACCAAACATAGTATTTTTATTATTTGAATTATGTATTTTTTTAAAAAAAAAAACTATTTTTTATCTTATAAAATATGGCGAATCATGTGTGGCAGGTGACTTGTGGCATCGGAGGGTCTGAACCTATGACCTTAGATTACAAATCCAACTCCTATATCACCATACCATCACTTTTAGGACTAGTGTGTTAATTTCATTTATTTATTTTTATTTTTTTATGACGTGGGAACCCGCACCCGCTGTCCGAAAGTGTTTACTGGGTAAACCCCGACCGAACCTAATACCCTGCAAACCAGGCCTCATACGAAAGATACACTAGGCGAACCACGTGTGGCACGTGGATCTGAGGCGTTGAAGGTTTGATTATATGAGTATTGTGTTAGCTTAACGGCCTTCTTAAATTAATATTCTTTCCCTTCCATTTATCGTGTTTATTTTTTTATTTTTGTCTGTCCAATTTATTATGTGATTTTTTTTACAAAAAAATTATACACTTTAATTTTATTTAAATTTATAAATTTATAAATTTAAAATTTTAATTAAATTAATTAATTATTTTAATTTTAAATTATTTTTATTATAAAATAATTATTTCAACTAATATATTTTTAATTAATTATTAATTATATTTATCATAAATTTTATTGTATACTAAAAGAGACACTACTAAAAGAGACACAATAGCCGGAGAGAAAGAGTATAATATTGACGCGTATTTCTATTATAAATGAAATACCACCCAAAATATTTTTATATTATATTAAAATATATATAAAAATCTATTCATTCAAAATACTACATTGTTAGTAAATACACATTTAATTATACAAATATTATGAAAATAAATAATGTGAAATGTCTTAAATATATAAAATATTATTTGAATAAATTAAATAAATTGTATCAGCAATATACAATACTCCAATATTTCACATTAAATTCTTAATATATGCTACATATATTTCTCATACTTTATGTGTTCCCAAAGAATTTTAAAAAATATATAATTAGTAAAATATAATTATCTTATAATATAACAAATTATAAATTAAAATATATCATTAGTTTAATTAAAATTAAAAATTTAAAAATAAGATTAAAATATGTAATAATTTTTTAAACAAACACAACAAAAATATACTTCTTTCGTCCCAATTTTAAATACAATTTTTAATATTTTAGTTTCTCTAATTTCAAAATATTTTTTTTTATATTTTATATAAAGTAATCGTACACTAATAAATGATACTTTTTACATAAAATAAAAAAAATTGTAAAAACCTATTTACACATTTTCATTAATTAATAAAATAATACTATTATTTTTTAATTTATTATAAAATTTCAAATAACACAAACAGTAATATGAACACATGGGACCCAGAGAATAATATTCATCGAAAAATAATTATTGAACAAACAAACCAAAAATATTACTTGCAATAATTAATTGAGGAAGCTACAACCCTTGTTCTTGTTAGCAATTTTCTTCCTCAAAGCATCTCTCAGTCCTTCCACTTCTTCCCATCTCTCAAACTTTGCCATCATTTTCGAGTAAACAACATACGCTGAGTCGTCCGCCGGCGCCGCCTCCCGGAGCAGTCCGGCGGCTTTCTTTCCGATCCGCAAATCGCCGCCGATCGTTTCGCAAGCTGTGAGAAGCGTTCGCCAAACGACGTCGTTCGGCGCCACCGGCATCGCTTCGATAAATGCTTCAGCCTCGTCGAGCCTCCCGCAACGACCGAGTAGATTCACAACACACACGCAATGCTTCACATCGACCGCGACGCCGTACTTCTCCGTCATCGACGCAAAATACGCAATCCCGTCTTCGACGAGGCCTCCGTAGCTGCATGCCGACAAAATCGCTACGAAAGTGACGTGATCGGGCCCGACGCCGTGCCGCGACATTTCGTCGAAGGCTTCTTTAGCTTCGTCGACGCAGCCGTGCCTCGCTAATGCGGAAATCAATACGTTCCACGACAATCGACATCGGTTTTTAGGCTCCGGAAGCATCTTCCGAACCCCGTCGAGATCTCCGCACTTGTTGTACATGTCCATTGCCGCGTTCGCAACGAAACGGTATCGGTCGAACCCGAGTTTGACGGCGAACGCTTGAAGCTGCTGGCCTTGGTCCAAATTAGCCAAATTTGCCGATGCGGCGAGGGCCGTCGAAAGGCTGAACTTATCGAAACCCACGTCGGCAGTTTGCATTTCGCGGAGAAGCTTCAAAGCCTCGTCGTAACGACCATTGTTCGCCGTCGCTGTAGCCATAGCATTCCAAGTTTCCGCAGACGCTGTTCTTCTGGACATCGACGAATAGAATATCATCCTGCTCGAATCGAGATCACCGCATTTTCCGTACATCGTGATTAGCGAGTTCCTCACATACTCGTCGGATTCAAATCCGGATAAAACGACGTGCGCGTGGACGGCCATCCCCTGCATCGCATCGCCGCAAGATTCAAGAACATGTATCAGAGACAAGCAGTCGCGATTTATTCGACAACTCCTCATCGCGTTAAAGATTTTCATCGCCTCGTCGACTTTGTTGTTCTTGGCATAGACTCCGAGCAGGGCATTCCAAGTAACCAATTCCTTTTCCGGCATGTTCCGGAAGACCTTCTCGACTTCTCGACTCATCCGGCACTTACCATACATGGTAACTAATGCATTCCCGACAACCATATTTTCGCAAAGCCCGGACGTGATCGTAAGTGCGTGCACAATTTTTCCTTTGTTGATAAATCCAGCATCGGCGCAGCAAGACACAGCGGTAGCAAAAGTAATGAAGTTCGGTACGTTCTTCGCGCGAAGAAGTTCGCCCAAAACCCTCAACGCGTCGACGAATTTGCCTCCCGAGACGTAGCCGGCCATCATTGAATTCCAAGTGACCAAATCCTTCTCGGGTAAATTCGAAAACAATTTCTCCGCATCTCCAGATCCCCCCGTCGTAAAATACATACTAATAAGAGCGTTAGCTACGCTTATATCAAGCTCGACGCCTGTTTTCACGGCTAAACAATGAATCCCTTTTCCCCAATTCAAAGCATTCGCAATCGACAACAACGTTGAGAACACGCTCGCGTCTACATCTCCATGATCGCAGCGCATTACACGAAAATATCTAAGCGAATCCTCAAACAGTCCGTTGCGAGCAAAGGCCATAACCATCGAGCTGCACAGCATCGGATCATCGCATCCGTCCATCTCATCAAACATATAAACAGCACTTTCCAACCAGCCGAGACTACCGAATCCTGATATAAGAGAATTCGCGACAACCACATCTTTCTCAAGGCCCGACTTGATAACAAGACCAAGCGTTTGAATAACCGAAAATTCATCGTCTCCGCAGCAACTAATGACTGTTTTAAACGTTTTCCGATCACAACGTACACCTTCTACCCTCATCTGCTGGAACAAATCGAAAACCTCACCGAACAACCCCGCCGCTGCGTAATTATCCATCAAAGCAGTCCAGGCAACCACATTGCAACAAGGCATGCCTTCAAACAACATTCGAGCATCCGAAAGAAGTCCGAAGCTACCGTAGAATTGTAACAGAGAAGTTCCTACGTAAACATCACAAACCATAGCATTCTTCAGAACTAAACCATGGATTTGAAGGCCTTCGAAGAACGTACACCCCGATCTACTAACTGCAGCCAACAATGTAGGGATATTGAATTCATTCAACCCGAATCCACCATCCCTCATCCTAACAAACAGCCCAAACGCATCTGTATGAAACCCTAATTTGACGTATCCAGCCATCATGTTGTTCCACGAAGCTTCATTTCTGTCGGGCATTCCGTCGAACACCTTCTTCGCATACTCAATGTTCCCCAAATTCGAATACATGTTAATCAATGTATTGAGGTGGAATATACATACTCGATTCCATCCCTTCAACCCCACCGCGTGCATTGCTTTTCCAACCACTTCTTCCCTGATCAGCGAAAAGCCTTTTTGCATAAATCCAGAAATTTCTGGGCGCGAGTGAGCTGCAATACATTGCAGTATGTTGATTGTCGGATCTCTTCTGCATTTCGACGGTGAGGAATCTGAGAAAACAGTGGAAAATAATCGGAATTTCCGATCAATCTTGACCGCCGGCAGCCTCCCTTTCCAAGCCTGCATACAAACCCAATTACAGATCATAATCAATTTCCACCATTTTTATATTTTAAACACCCCTCACATTTTCAATGAATAATAATCAATTACAAAAACCAAAAATATCATACCAACAAGCTCTCGTAGCTCAGTTGGTTAGAGCACCCGTTTAGTAAGCGGGAGGTCTTGAGTTCGACTCTCAACGAGAGCAATTGAAATAATTTTATTTTATAATCTTTTTTTTTCATCTTTTTAGCTTCTTCTTCGTGTGAAAATCCATACAGCAAAAGGAAGAAACACAGTCATTAAAACTTATAAATTCTTACCATTACTCAATCAGTCAACAATTGCAAGAATACTTCAGCACAACGTGCTACTTTTGTTCCTCACGCTAAGCCAACTACAGGCCGGCTTCTTCCTAACATTGTTCGATTCCATCCTCACCCGGAGGCCCTCAACGTCGTGCCATCGTCCTGACGTCGCACAGAAGTTCGAATACAGAACGTACGCAGAGTCATCGGAGGGGTTTGCTTCGAGAAGCCGTCGAGCAGCTTTCTTTCCGAGCTCGACGTGTCCTCCGTGCATCCGGCAGGCTGCAAGAAGTGTTCGCCACACAAAATCGTTAGGCAGGACCGGCATTTTATTGATGAATTCTTCTGCCTCGGCGAGTCTCCCCGACCGCCCGAGAAGATCGACGATGCACACGCAATGTTCTACAGCAGCTGCCACGCCAAACTCGGACGTCATCGACGAGAAATACGCAAGACCGTCATCTACCAGCCCGCCGTGGCTACAAGCGGATAAAATTGCGACGAACGTGACGTGGTCTGGCTCCGCGCCGTGCGCCACCATTTCGTTGAACGTAACTTTTGCTCTCTCGAAGTATCCGTGCCTAGCAAACGCGGAGATCAATACGTTCCACGCTAATTTGGATCGATGTTTTTTACCCGGGAGAAGCTTCAATAGATCGTCGAGTTCTCCGCATTTCCCGTACATGTCCATCACAGCATTCGCGATGAAACGATAGCTTTCGAACCCGAGTTTGATTGCCAATCCATGAAGATGCTGCCCGTCTTCCAAAATCGTCAAATTTGCTGACGCGGAGAGCGCCGCAGAGAGACTGAACTGATCGAAACCAACTTCGGCGCGTTGCATATCCAAAAGAAGCTTCAATGACTCCTCCCACAGACCGTTTTGCGACTTCGCAGCAACCATAGCATTCCAAGTCGCAGGCGTCGGGTCGACTAGCGACAAAAATATGGACTCGCTCGAATCAAGATCGCCGCAGTTGGCGTACATCGAGATAAGAGAGTTCGTCACATATTCCTCAGATTCAAATCCCGTTGACACGATATGCGCGTGGAAAGGCATTCCGTACCTCGCAAGATTGCGCGGACAACAACAAGATCCGAGAACGTGTATCAATGTTATGTAGTTTGGATATATACCGGTCTCCCTCATCATCTTGTAAGCTTTCGTCGCCTCGTCTACATCCCCGTTTTCTGCGTAAGCGCCGATCATTGCGTTCCAAGTGACCAATTCTTTTACCGGCATACTCAGAAATACTTTTTTAGCTTCTTGTGTCGCACCGCACTTCCAGTACATAGTAACGAGTGCATTCCCGACCACGAGATCATCTTCGAGCCCAGAAGTTATTACGAGCAAATGTACCCTTTTCCCTTCGTCGAGATATTCAGCATTAGCGCAAGCAGACAATGCACTTGCAAACGAAACGAAATTTGCGATGAAGATGAGCTGTTTGAACACACTCAAAGCATCCATCGACTTGCCCATCGAAACATATCCGGCCATCATCGAATTCCACGAGATCAAATCCTTCTTCGGAAGGTTATAAAACAATAATTCGGCATCTTTATACCTTCCCGTCTTGAAATACATCGTGAGAAGAGTGTTTGAAACGCAGATGTCGGATTCCAATCCCATTTTCAACACCAAACTATGTATTCCTCCGCCCGACCTCGAATTTTCATCAGAATCGTCGTACGCAGATAACAGCGTCGAAAGTGTGCTTTCGTCTAATTGTCGATGATCAAGGCGCATCGAATGAAAACAGGTGAGTGTATCTTCAAACAGCCCGTTATGAGCGAACGCTGCGAGCATCGAGTTCCATGATATGGTGTCACGCTCATTCATTCGATCAAATATATCTCTGGCGATTTCCACTCTGCCGAAACTACCAAACGTCGATATAAGAGAATTCGCGACAGAGACATTGGTATCAAGCCCGGATTTAATAACATCGCCGAGCACTTGAAGAACCAAAAACTCATCATCAAGCGCGGCGCAAGAACTAATCACTGTAGTAAGGGTATTCTGATTACAAACCTCCCCCTCGGATCTCATTTTTCGGAATAAATCAACGACAACATCGAACAATCCAGCATCCGAATAGTTAACCATCAGAGAGGTCCAAGAAACCACATTTCTCTCCGGCAACAATTCGAAGAGCATATGAGCATCAAAAACATGTCCGTAACCACCGTAGAAATGCAAAAGCGAAGTCCCGACAAACACATCATACATCAAACCATTCTTCAAAGCTAAGCCATGGATTTGAATGCCTTCAAAGAACATACTCCCTGACCTTACAACTGCAGTTAATAAACTAGGGGTATTATATCCATTCAATCCGAATCCCGAGCTTTGCATCGAAACAAAAACTCTAAAAGCATCCAAATGCAACCCGGCCTTGACATATCCAGCGACCAAGTTGTTCCAAGAAGATTCGTTTCTCTCAGGCATTGTGTCGAACACTTGTCGGGCATACCTGACATTCCCGAATCTCGCATACATATTGACCAATGTGTTGGTGTGGAAGATACTCGATCGAATCCAGCTGCCTTTCAAGCACGCAGCGTGCACCGCTTTTCCTACGATCTCCCTGGTGATATCCGAAAAGCCTTTCTGAAAAAATACAGCAATTTCTGGGCAAGACGAGCTTCTTATAGTACACTGCAGCATTGTTTGGTTCCTGGATTCTCGTCTGCATTGGGCGAATGGTGAATTTGATAAATCAGTAGTCGAGAATGTGAACGACGAACGAATCCACCAATCTGCAAGCTTTCTCTTGCTCCTGCAAGCCAACATACAAAGAAGTCCTTTCTTTGAGTAAAAACAAGAGTGATCGATCGTAAGTGAAGTGTAGTCCGGTGGTAATCAAGACATATTTAGTGTGAACAAGGTTCAATTTCAGTTCTTTTGAAGTGGAGGTTGGTCTCAAATTAAAGAAAAAAATAAAATAAAAAATTGAACAATAAATTCCCCACTCATACAATTACATTGATTTCAGATATATATTCATAAAATTTACTGTCTTTTTTTTTTTTTTTCTTTATTAAATGTACCAAATATTGCTAGGCTAAAAAATCGAACGAACAAAATTTTCGATTAGCTGAACAAATTCGATACAATTTGAAGTTTTGAGTATTTTTTTCGATCAGTTCGGATACCAAATGTATGTATATTTGCAAATATCCGAACCATGTCCAACCTTGTCCACAACATTCAGAATCCTAACGATTCTCGTGATAGATAAATAAATAGGTCATTTGCTCAAAAGAATTAAACAAGCCCATAATGATCAATTTCAAAAAATCTGCTCAAAACAATCTTCAATACAGCAGAAAATCGATATAGGTGTCTTATACTTGATTAACTTAATAGAGAGCAACAAATGTTATAATCACAAGAGCAGTTCTAGAGATCAACACACGATTAACTTTTGGTCTCATTTTCTGTATAAGAGAACAAGAACCGGCGCCAACGGTCGGTTTACTGTCTGGAGCTTGCAGCACGTCCAACCGTCGATAGGTAAGCCAGCTGCAAACGATTCCACTGTCTTAAACTCCTCCCTACAAATGACCCGACATCAATGTAAATGAAATGAAAGTATCTGAAATCGAGAAGAACATGAAAGACAAACTAGGCCACCCAACTGAAACAGCACGGCCAAACCAAGTATTTTCATTAATATATTTTAAATTAAGAGTTTTGAATGATCGATGATAGATAATTAAAAAACAAATGATAACCAAGATTCCAATACCTTCCCCCTGAATGGCCCAGATAACAAACTACACTAATGAGACTGCCTCCGGGCGCAACTACTCTCGTTGCAGCCTCCAATGCAAGTAATGTTGTGTCGGGCAGAGTTTTCAGCGTTTTGTCGCCTCCGGGCAGGTAGCCCAAATTGAATGCAACCAACCTAGAAAAAAAAAAAAGACTTAAATTGCGAAGTTGTTCTCTGGTGTCACATTTAGGGACCAAAGAATTCGTCTTATCCTTTTCGATATGGAATTAGACAATACCTAATTACATCCCCAATATGAACAAGTTCTTCCATTTTCGTATGACACATGGCGTAAAGTTCAACAAGTTTCCTCTGCAAGAAATTAATTTGATGCAACTTAAGAAAGCATAGCTTGTCCGCGTAGAAACATAAACAACAAGAAGTCTATGCAGATGATTGTTGGCGAAATTCATGAACATCAAGTTTCTATCAACATCAATTTTTATGGCAGTATTATATTGATGATCAACTTGAAATTGAATATGATATAATCATTGATGTATCTGTGATCTCATTCGATTAAATTTAGGCACAGAGCAAGTTATTATAACATCTACAAGCATATAATTTAATGCGAATTATCTTAAACAATTGCTACCTCACCAGCAGAGACTGATCGATCCAGTAAAAATGAAGTGCTTTCTAAAGCTTCCTTTTGAACGTCCATGGCGTAAACGTGGCCTCTGCAACTATTTTCATCTGCAACAAGCCTTAGCATAGCAAGTGTGTCGAATCCATTTCCACAAGTGGCGTCGATAACCACATCCCCTTTCCTAACGACCTTTTTCCACACACTGATACATAATAACATCCGAATTTAGAGATTCTCATAAGAACATTGAAATCACATTCCGAATAGCCAAAACAAGAAAGAATGGCGACAAATAAATACCTACGCGTGAGCTACTTCAGTGACCTTTCTCTGACCAAATATGTATCCCAACATCACATCTTCCAACCCTAATTATTGACAACAGAATACGCAACCCTAAAAAATGTAAAAAAAAAAAAAAAAAAAAAAAAAAGACCACACACAGACAATCGGATTAGTGCCGTGGTGAAAAACAAAATCAACCTGAAAACGGAGCTTGATTGCACATGGTCGACGTGGAAACTTCATCGTCGGGAGAAGAGACGGCGTCATACGAAGCAGCGCGAGTGAAAATTGACGCTATTCCTGGAAATCCACGAACCTTTAACCAAAATAACGACGGCGCCGGCGCCGGTAAGAAGAAATTGAACCTCCTTTGTAATCGAATAACTCTGATGGGTAACCGAGTGCAAGCATTGGGGCAGAGCCCCATGACACCCATCGTGAGTGAATTCAGGACTATACAGAAACCCTAGTTTCAACAAAACTCGATAATAATCACAGAAGAAGAAAGAAGACGAAGATAAGAGGAAGGGCATCTGCATCCCACATCGGAAGAATTTGAAAACCTAATCTACTATATTAAAATTACTCACAGCATACTTGTTCGCCGGGCTCGTTAGCGTGAGCTTGTGACCCAAGCGGGGGCTTCAGGTTGACTGGACGTTGAGCCGAGCCAGCTCGCTGGGTCCTGGATGCTCATGCCGGCTCGCCCGTTCCAAGCGGAGAGTTGGTCCCCGGGGTCCAGGCGAAGGCCTGGACTCCGTGGTCCTTAGAGCGAAGGGCACCGCGTCAGGCTGGTCTCACAGAGCAACGACCACCTTCCGCTCTCCGCAGTGGAAGGATAACGGGCCGGTGCTTCTTGGGCCCAATACAGCGAGTTGGTCCGGTTCTAATTGGACAGTCAATTTTTATTTTATTTTTGTTTATACATATTTTTTATTTTATTTATTTACTCTTTATTATTTTATTTAATTATTTTTATTTTTTTTTAAAAAGTAGTATATCCTATTTTATTTTTTATATAATATTTTAAGGATTATTATTATTATATATATATTTTTATCAGAATATTGTTTTATGGAAATTATAAAGTAGCATATTTTTTAATACTCGTATATATGCATGTGACTTGAACGAATATGGGTTGGATGGATATATGAAAACATAAGAGCAGCTTGATGGTTCTCAATTATTAAAAATTAATAAATCTTTTATCATACTACTTTATAATTTTAAAAATATATATTATTAATTTGAAAAACTGAAAATCTTAAAAAATAAAAATAAAAATCTAATCCGTAATTAAATTTACTCTTACTTTCTTTCTTAAGGATATATGACACCATTTTATTACTTCAAGCAGAGGGAATAGAAGATTTTTGGTCCCGGAGGGTTACCGTGCAGCCTAGAATCAATTTACTTATACGGAAAGCATCTGAAATATTTTCTACGTATATATAAAAGTTTAGAATGGAAAAAATCTGACTTATTTCAATGGACTGTTTGCTTGATCTTGTGTTTTGTGTTGGTGACTAACTAGGGTTTTGCTAAGGGGAAGAGCACAAGCTGGTATCGATCGGGATCGATTCTCGAAGGCCTGGGAGAGCAACTTAACACCATCTTTGGGCAGCCAGTGAGGGTGGCTGAGCCACATTCCTCCATCAACAATCATGGTGTTCCCATTCACATATTTACCTTCGTTCACAACACAGAAGGCATGGAACAAACAACATTAAGTACACCATAGGGAAACAAACATGGAGACATGGAGACGTTAGGTTAGCTAACCGAAGAAAAATGGAACCGAGCTCGACCAAACTATGTATTTTCACTAATATATTTCAAATTAAGAGTTTTGAGAGAGCATAAAAACTAGTTATAGATGTTATGTCGAAATTTGAATGATCAATGATAGATAATTAAAACAAACGACAACTAAGAATCGGATACCTTCCCCTCCCAAATGGCGCAGATAACAAACTACACTGATGAGACTGCCTCTGCACGCAACTACTCTTGTTGCAGCATCCAATGCAAGCAACGTTGTGTTGGGCAGCATTTTCAGCTATTTGTCGCCTCCCGGCAGGTACCAAATTGAATGCAACCAAACTAGAGAAACAAAAAAGCCTTAAATTGCGAAGATTGTTCGGTGTCAAATTTAAGGACCAACAAATTCATCTCATCCTTTTTGAATATGGAATCAAACAATACCTCACTGCATCCCCAATATGAATTGTCATGGCGTAAAGTTGAACAAGTTTCCTCTGAAAGATATTAACTTGACGCAATTTAAGACAGCAAAGCATGTCAGCATAGAAACATAAACAAGAAAGTATTCAATCTGGTCCAAGAAGATGATGTTGCCTAAATACATTAGCATCATGTTTCAATCAACACCAATTTTATACGAGCATACAATTTGACAGCGAATTATCAAGACATTGCCAACATGCTTAAACAATTGCTACCTTGGCTGCAGAGACGGATCGATCCAGTATAGACGACGTGCTTTCTAAAGCTTCCTTTTGAACGTCCATGGCGTAAACATGGCCTCTGCAACTATTTTCATCGGCAACAAGCCTTAGCACTGCAAGCGTGTCGAATCCATTTCCACAAGTGGCGTCGAAAACCGCATCCCCTTTCCTAACGACCTTTTTCCACACTCTGATACATAATTACATCCGAATTCAGAGCTTCTCAAAAGAACGTTGAAATCACAATCCGAATAACCAAAACAAGAAAGAATAACGACAAATAAATACCTACGCGTGAGCCTACTTCAGTGACCTTTCTCTGCCCATATATGAATCACAACATCACATCTTCCAACCCTAATTATTAACAACAGAACACGAAACCCTATAAAATGCAACTAAAAAAAAGGACCAATCGGATTAATGCCATGGTGAAAAACATAATCAACCTGAAAACGAAGCTTGACTGCGCTTGGTCGACGAGGAAACTTCATCGAGAGAAGCGACGGCGTCGTACGAAAGCAGCGCGAGTGAAACTTGACGCAATTCCTGGGAATCCGCCCAACTTTAACCAAAATAACGACCGCACCGGCGCCGGTAAGAAGAAATTGAACCTCCTTTGTAATCGAACAACTCTGATCCGCAATCAAGTGCAAGCATTACGGCAGAGCCCTATGACATACACCGTGAATGAATTCAGCACCATATAGAAACCCTAATTTCAACAAAACTCGAAAGAAAGAAGAAGAAGAGGAAGCCCATCCGCATCCCACATCGGAAGAATTTGTAAATCTGATCTACTATATTACAATTACTCACAGCATGCTAGTTCGCCGAGCTCGGCAGCGCGAGCTTGTGACCCAAGCGGGGGCTTTAAGCTGACTGGACGTTGAACCGAACCAGCTCGCTGGGTCCTGGTTGCTCATACCGGCTCGCCCGTTCCAAGCGGAGAGTTGGTCCCCGGGGCTTAGGCGAAGGCCTGGTCTCCGTGGTCCTTAGAGCGAAGGGCACCGCGTCAGGCTGGTTTCACAGAGCAGCGACCACCTTCCGCTCTCTGCAGTGGAAGGATAACGGGCCGGTGCTTCTTCGGCCCAATACAGCGAGTTGGGCTGGTTCCAATTGGACAGTCAGTTTTGTTTTTTTTTTGGGTATGTTTTCTTTATATTAATAATCCTTAAGAAAATTGAGAGAGCCAAAAACATACTAACTACTTTCATCATACTACTACTATATAATTAATTGTTAGAATGGACTTATTTCAGTAGACTGTATAGTATTGTTTGTTCTTCTGTTGTTTTTTACTTAGGATGTCATGAACAGAGAGGGAAAGTCTGATGATAACTCAAATCCTTTTTGTCTAGATTGAAATAAGACTACATTTTTCAATAGAATGTGTGTTTGTTGTTGGTGACTAGAGTTTGCTAGGGGAAGGAGCACCAGCTGGTGTCAATCGGGATCGTTTCTCGACAGCCCGGGAGAGAAGCTTAACATCATCTTTGGGCAGCCAGCGAGGCTGGCTAAGCCACATTCCTCCATCAACAATCATGGTGTTACCATTCACGTATTTACCTTCATTCAACCAACACATTAATGAGCTTACTTAACAAACATGCAGGTTATTAGCTAATCAAAATGGATCCGAGAGAGATCGAACCAGCATCAGATGCCAGGTAGACGGCAGCCATGGCAATGTCCCATTTCTCCCCAACTTTAATCAGAGGAAAAACATCATTGATCGTGTTGGCAATCTCTTCCGGAAGCAGCTTGCTCATCCCAGCAGTTTCGGCAATGGGGCCGGGCGCGATACCATTAACTCTGATATCATAATCTGCACCCCATTCGAGGGCCAAGTTTCTTGTGAGGGCATCAACAGCCGCCTATATATATATATATATGTTTATGGTAAAAGATATCGAATGAGATATACGAGAGAAAAAATCTAATGACATACCTTGGCTGCAGAAACATGGATCTGATACCAGGTCGCGGTGTAGTGCAAATTGGCGCTAATATTTAGTATAAATCCTCCGCTAGACGAGCTTCTACCCGGCGCGCCCTTTTTCAGGTACTTTAGAGCCTCGTGGCACATTGTAAATGTGCCTACAGCGTCTATGTCGATCACTGCAGAAGACATTTCAATGCCTTAGAAAAAATTGATAAACGGCTAAGTAAACAACACTTTTTCGTATATACAGATGTTTACATGAAAAACCAATGAATATGTTAAACAATGTGTTCTTTAGAATCAAATTGTTTCCGGTGGAAACACTCACATGAAAGACTAATCCATTCCATTGTATCGTATACGCCACTAAATCTACTATCAACGAATTTTCAAACGAAATGCGTAGATTGTTTTGTAAACCGAGCATAATTAATGGTTATAACAACTAACAAATATAGGAAAACTATGTGATCGCTAGCAGGCATGATCAAGACATACAACATGAATATGATCTATCATTTCATACTAGCTTCCTTATAAATCTTCGCCATTTAATACACATCTTCGATCCGGTAAGTGCATCAAGTGTGTTTCTGACATTTTATCATCGATCCATTTTTACCCTCGCTTTCCTTATAATCCAACCACTGTAAAATTTTGATCATAAAGCATTGTTTGCTCATAGTAATCCAATAAACATTAAATTCGGTTGCTTCTCTATTTGATCAAACAAGAATTTAGTGTGTAAATAATAGCTTTATCAATCTCATATCTAAAAATTCTGAGCAGAGAACTACAAGAACATAGTGTAAAGGATTAAGGAAGAAAAAGGATGCAGGATTGATTAGAGGCAAATTAGACCTGTTTGGAAACCCTTGGGAGAGAGATCCTCAGCAGATACAAGGAAGTTGCCGGCAGCAGAATTCACAAGAATGTCAAGCTTCCCAAAATGCTTCACTGTTGCCTCCACAACTCTCTGTGCATCTTCCTTCTTCCGAACATCCCCTTCGAAACCAACTGCCTACACAGAGAGAAATGTTCGAACCAATTACCAAAGCTTCACCAATAAGATACACAGATCAGTTCGAATCGATATCCAAAACAGCAATTCAAATTTCACTGACGCTCAGCGACAATCATTAGGATAACAGCGAACCTTGTTTTCATTTACCAAAAAAAAAAACAGGTCAATTTCTAAGCACATCGGCTATGGCGAATAATTTCTACCCAATGTGTATAGGCCAAAAGAAAATACAAATTGAGTAGAGAACTACTCACAGAGATGCCGTGGCTCTTGAGAACTGCAACGGCGTCGTCCAAAATACTCCTCCGGCGACCCATGATTGCAATCGAGGCTCCATGTTTGCCGAATTGGGTGGAAATTTCGAAGCCGATTCCAGAGCCGCCTCCGGTCAATAGCGCAACCTTCCCCTTGAGTACATCGGCCTTGAATGGAGACTCCATCTCGATCAGCTGATACGATTCCCAACTTTTTATTCAATTTCCTTCAGCTAGGAGGACTACAATAGATAGATACGGTGGTGCCGATGCACGGCCACTCACGAAAGTCAAAATGAATGAATCTCCGACGACAGGACGGCGGACCTATATAGATTACACGCGATAGCCAATGGCCTGAAGACACGTGTTACCTTTTTGAAATAATGGAGTATATAATTTTTTTTTTTATATATATATATAGTTATGTTCGTTGTTTTTGTCTTAAAACTTGGAAGGTGAATATGATATGATAGGTGGTTTGTTAGCTCGTTTTTTTTTTTAATACGTTTTTTATTTAAAATATATGTATTTTAATAAATATATCTATTTGATATAGTAGTTAAAAAAAAAAAAAAAGGTAATATTTTAAAAAAACAATAATGGAATAAATAATAGTAGTAGTAAACTAGAGAAGAATTAATTCTTTTGGAGTTTGATAATTTTTTTCTTTTTCTCCACTAATTTTCACAGTTTCAAAAAGATGAGCTCTCTTTAGTTTAGGGATACGTTATCTTATATAGTTTAAATTAATAAATAATGGCTAAATTACTTCCTTCGTCTCTAAATATTTATCTTATTTTTTCATTTTCATTTGTTCCAAAACAATTGTCTTATTTTCTTATTTAAGTAGCGTGGTCCCTACTTTATAACAAAATTATTTCTATTTTTCTATATTATCCATAATTATTACTTTAACATACTCTTTAACATCCTTAAAAAAAAAACAAAGGTATTTTAGTCATTTACATTCTACTTTGTATCCACTTTCAATTAAATACTATTATTCTTTAATTCTCATTCCAATTCTTCACTTCTTTTGGGACGGAGGGAGTATAACAATACTTATATTTTAGTAAAAATGCACAAAATATTTTGTGTTTTATTTATTACTGTTAATTTAAGTTCGGACGAAACACCTTTTTGTTTAAAATTGATGTTTGATTCTAAAAAAAGACTTAACTTTCGCAAGTTTTATAAAAATAAAAACGTAAAATATGTAAAATATTTTTTTTAAATAAAATAAATAAATTAATAATTGATTAATCATTTATTTTAATTTTGTTGGAGATAAATTATAGGTTGTTTTGTGCATTTTTTATTAAAATAGAAGGGTTATATAATTTACCCATAAATTATTATTAATAAGTTATAATATTATTTTTATTATTTTTTATATGAGTAGTGTTGTTGGTATTTTAAATAATTTTAAGATTATATCTTAATAAAATACATGCAATATGTATATAATTTTGTAGATAATAAAATTTTATATAATAAAGATAAATAAAATATATATTTATTTATAGTTAATAAAAAAAATTTATAATAAATATAAAATTTTAAATATAGATAAAAATATTTGTTTATTAATGAGAGATAAATAAATATAAGGGTTTTGAATGAATGTAATAAATTAAAATTTTAATTAAATTTATTTATATTTGATAAGTATGTTTAAATTTTTTTTATGAAAAAGACAAAAAAATAAAAGAAAAAGAGTTATCTGTAGTGGAAGAGTATTATTTATTTTTACAAAATATTATATTAAAATATTTTTTTAAAAAATAAAAACTAAATTGAAAATTTGTTAACTTATTATGTTAATTTGTTTTCACCGGAGATGAATTGATAGGAATGTTTATTGGATATAATATTTAATAAAAAAATTATATTGTTTTTTGTTAAAAAAATTAAATAAATATAAAATTGATTGACAAAAAAAAAAAAATATTTTTATATAACTATAACTGTGAAAACAAATGTGAATAAAACTTTATATTCTTTAAATATTAACATGTCACAATAAACTGTGCGTTGTTTTTTGAAAAGTTGGGAAAAAAAAATATTTTTTTATACAAAATATAAGAAATTAGATAGAGAATATAAAAATTAATAAATATGTGTAATATATTTATTTTTTTAAAAAAAAAACATGTACAAAAAAGAATAGAACGAACAAACACAATATGTAACAAAGACATCCAACTTTCGTTTAGATATCTTTCAGAGAATGCTTGGAGTTTTGAAAATTTTAAATAATTAAAAAAAAATAACATTTAATTTAATATATTATAAAAATAAATATTTAAATTAATTTTTAAAAGTTGACTGGTACCTAAAAAAATAATTAAAGTGTACATAAAAGAAATGAATAATACTCTCTCCGTCCTAGATAAGATGACCGTATTACTGTAAATACGAAAATTTAGGTAAAGTATAATTAGTAAGTAATTAAGAAGTATACTAGTAAAAATAATTATAAATTAAGATTATAACTAAATAATTTAATTAAAATTAAAGAAAATTTAAATTTTAAATTTTAAAATATAATTAAAGTATATAATTAATTTTTTTTTAAAAAAAAATAACAAATTACTTGAAACGGACAAAAATAAAAAAATAAAGACAAAATTATGTGGGAGACTTACTAGTACTTATTTTAATAGGCATGCAGTCTATCCTAACTGAGTTCCTATAGTATATGTTTGAAGTTGTAATGATTATGATATGATTTAATATGTGAAATAAAAATTTTAATTTAATATTAAAATCAAATATGTTTATTGTAGTATTTATAAAATTATATCTTAATAAAAATATTTAGTAAATTATTTATGTCATCTTGTACATAATGAAGTGTTACATATAAATAAATAAATAAAATATATTAATATGTTACTAATACAAAACTTTTTGGCTAATCTAACTATGTAGATGATCCTCTACTCGAATTTTTCCGCACCAACTATTTTTACAATTTTTACAAATATCTTATCGAATTTAATGATGTATATATATACTATATATATATATATGCATATATTCTGAAATGTGAGTTTTTACACACGTGCGTTTGTAATAAATACGACAATGTTAAATTTGTTAAGCCACGCGTAGGTATTAGAAACGAATATTGTTATATTTATTGAACGAACGTAGATACTTTTAAATTTGTTGCGTTATCTTATTACATCAAAATTGACCATAACAATATGATTGACATTTGTTAGCATTCTGATAAATTTTGAATCCTTTTGAAACATTCCTTTGATCTTATTAATATATATATGTGTAGTTACAATGAATACGACAATATTGTATGTGTCAACATTCCGATTGTGTGTCAAAGCTACGGACGGGTATTTGTAATAAAAATTGTCGTATTTATTTAATGTAAGTTATTTTAATTTTTTTGTTATCATGTCAATTAATATTTCATTTGTTATTTGGATATGTCGACGTTAACCATATTAATATGATTGGTGTTGATATTAATACGATCTATATTCACCACCGTATATATTTAAAAATAATGAATCAAAACTATTAAATTGAGTTATTTGTCGGGTAGCTCACAATCTATCGTAATTTAGACAATAATAGGCCAATATATAGAACTAAAATTTGCTCAATCCAATTGAATTCATGATAGATCGTCGTAGACTCAACAGGCTATCCGGAATGTTTAATAATATAAATACAAATAAGAGTATCTATGGATTTCTTTGGTTGTTATATATTTGAAATTTATTTGAAAAATCTGTTGATTGAAGTTTATGTTTAAATAGTGTTTTGATGCAATTTTTTTTTTTTGTAAGAAAAAATAATATATTTTTATTGAAAATCATATAAGCTAGTGTTGATTAATATAAACTCTATATTTTATGCATGTTTCAAATAATATGTGACATTGATAATAGTTTGTAATATTCAAAATGTCCATATTTTGAAATTTTTATGATATATTTTGCCTGTAATGTTGATATTATATATTTTTATAACTAAACGAGTAAAAATGAATAATCAATTATATAAATAGTTTGAACTTTATAACTATAAACAAATAATTGTATGTGTGTAAACTGTTTTTGTTATATAACTTATAGTGTGTATGGATTTAGGGTTTGAGTTCAAGAAAAAATAAAACTTTAAATTAGAATAGCATTGTATTGTAATGTAATACAAATATGTGATATAAAAATATGAAATGAATTTTTAATATAATGTAAAAACAAAATTAGGTTAGATTTCGTATTTTAAGAGAAATTTATTTTAAAGAAATAATGGTAACACCCCACAAACCTAGCTAGGGTTAAGGATGTTTATGGGTTATTTTTTACCTTGCGTTTCTAGACAGTAGCTAGGGTTTAAGGATGTTTCGCTAATAACAACTATAATAAAACCCACAATATAATTAGCACAAACATACATAGATATAGATGTCTCCAAATCCAGAAGGCATTTCCCATCCTACATTATTTGATGTCGCAAAAACGACATTATATGGGAAATACTGCAAAGTCTGAATAATACCAATAATAATAATAATAATAATAATACTAATAATAATCAGCCTTGCTGTCCTCATACCTTCTCAGGTGGACTCATCGCTACTCTCCTCTGTCTCATCACCGTCAACCACCGCCGCCGGCGGCTCCTCATCTTCCATGCCGTCCTCCGGCTGCCCCCACGCCAGGAATTGCAGAGGCAGCGCATGCTGATGAGCCGCCTGGCTACGAAAAACATCGTCCGGTTTCCCGAACACCATCCGCCCTCCTCCCATACGAGGAGGAGTCGTCGGAGCCACATAGTAGTACGGAGAAAAATCCTCCGCCGCCGCCGGCAGACCTCCGAGCATCGGAATGCCGCCCGCCGGCTCATCCCTGGGGAGAATGTCCACCAAAAAATCGAAAACATCAGTCCTCACAATGGCCGCAATAACGTCGTTTTTCTGAAGAGTTCTCCGCTTGTTCTCCTCAGTATGGATCCAGGCGCGCGCAGTCAGATCCATGACGAAAAGCTCGCACGCCTTGGCGAAGATGATCGGAGCCTCGGCGGAGATCATCCGGACGTCTTCGTCCGATTTCATGATCTTCTTAATCCTCGCCAGGGGGAGGCTGTGGTTCCTGAACTCGCAGGAGAGTCCGATGTCGTGGATCTGGTTCGTCCAGAAGGCTTGCACCTGCTGCTGCTGGTGGCTAGCGCTAAAAAAGTGCTGCGGCTGGTTATGGAAGGTGAGCGACGGCAGAGCGAAGCGGTTGGGAGAAGTGAATCCGTAGGTCATGATCTGGTTCGAGTTCGCGACCACTCCAGATTGCTGTTCCTGATGCTGCTCGTGGTCTTCCTGCGTCAATGGCTGCTGGTAGTTCGGGTCGATGTTCTCCATTTCTGCTGCGATTTCATGAAATCATGGACACAATTGAAACCAGATTATCAGTGGAATGTATATAATCGACGATCCAATTGTTATTATTTAGGGAAACAGTTACAAAATCCAGATCCTTGTAGATAGAACATCGACGATGATGAAAAGCATGAGTATCAACAACTGGATGCGTCGATCCAGAAATCGTTTCATTGAATCTCGAAAGGAATACAGATCTACTACAGAAAACAGTACCAGAAGAAGAAGAAGCACGAACTCAACAAAGGAAACCGCCAAAAGAGGAAAGGAACTATTATAAGGTCACAATCAAGCATTTCTAGAGCGGGGAAGAAGGAATCTGAAGAGATCCAGACGTTCTCAAGTCAAAAAACAAATCTAATCTATCATCTCAGAAAATTGTTTCTCAGTTAAGAACATCTGAACATCAACATCTTCTGCGACAATCATGACAGTTTTTTTCAAGAAATCACATAAAATCAAAACAACAGATCCTTAAATCAACAGCATTCTATCCCAACGATCTAGCCACATCAATCAAATCACGAATTAAACTCACAGGAAGAACAAAAAATCAAAATCAGAACACGTAGATAATATCGAACCTCTAAATCCAAGCACCAGAACCAAACTTCATCCGAGGCACTTCGCACGCAACAACAACGAAGCATCTCATCTAAAAGATAAAATGGAACTGACAAAAAGCGCAGCAAATAGTTTTTTACCTCAAAATCTCGCAAAAAAATCAAGCACCTGCAGAGGATATTCCTTCTCCTGGAGAAAACCCTAGAAGCCAGCACTGAGGTGGAGGCGGAAAGCCGAGGGGGGTTTAAATTCTGGTGGGAGGAGAGAGAAAACAGAAGAGAGAGAAAAAAGTCATGTCTGTTTCCATGGACGCGTGTCTATCGGTGGAGGTGTCAGACATAATTGCCAAATATTAAAAAAAAAAAAAAAAAAAAAAAAAGCCTAGAACGTTCTATTCCTGGAGGAGAGAGAAATATGTTTTTTTTTTTTTAATATTATATGTAATAGTTCCTCCGTCCATGTAATATAGATGTATTATGGTAGATACGGAAATTTAGGTATAATATAATTAGTAAGTAATTAAGAAGTGTATTAGTAAAAATAATTATAGATTAAGATTAAGATAAGAAAATAGTTTAATTAAATTTAAAATGCGATTAAAGTGTATAATTATATTTCCAAAAATAGAATAGACAAGTTACGTGAGACGGACGAAAATAGAAAATAGGAACAAATTATGTGGGATGGAGGGAGAGAGGGAGTATAATTTAGTATTGTAGAAGTAATTTTATTTTCATAATAATAATAATATATAATTTAATATTAATTATTAAATTATTCATTAATTATTGTTTAAAATAAATTTTATTTTATTAAAAAATAATATTATAATTTAAATATTATCTTCTCATTTTTTTTCTTTTTCCATTTTTATACTTACATATAAACAAAATTAATTTTAAATTAAATTATAAATGAAAGTTAAAATGAAACTGTATATATATATAAATAAAGTACTATAGAAAAATTATTTAAAATAATTTTAAATAAATATGAGTTTCAATTTCTGACTGGACAATCCTCTTCAGCCAACGGTGACGTAGGATTGCTGACGCTTCGCCGTTATAGAGGCTTCTAGGACGGCAAGCACAGAATGAATCTCTGCCGTCCGTTGTGTAGGGCCAAGTGAATGGATGGTGTAGATTTAATCTGCTATGAACTGCCGGTAATTATTGGCGGCAGGTAGGCGTTACTTGCTGAAGTAGTAGACATTTAAAGTAAATTTGTTATTACTTTTTAATTATTTTTATAATGTTATTAGCGAAAGGCTGCCGTCACGTGAGGTCGAGGTGGCGATGATGTGGCACAGCGGTTGGTAGGGACACGCACGTGTTGTAAATGAAACGGCGGTGTTGTATAATGCATATTTCATATATTATGCATGGAGAGGTGTTTTTATAGTGTGCATGGCAATATTAACATTTTATTTATTTTTCTAAATGTCAAAGTCACGTAAAAAGATATTTGAAATTAATATCGTCGTATTTATTAAATGCAAGTATCATAGATTTTGTACCGTTACGATACTGATTATTTTGTATATTATCTTGTTATATCGACGTTTACTATATTAACATGATCGATGCCTTTTAACGTTAAGATGATCTTGATATTAGTACGATCGATATTCATAGTAGCTATAGGCATATAGAATCTAATAAATACTCGTGGCAATAACAAATACGACGATGTTAATTTGTAAATGTGCCAACATTCCTTTTGTATGTTACGTTAAAGTCATTTGAGGGCGGTTGAAATAGATCTTGTCGTATTCATTCAATGTAGATAGTTTAAAATTTTTGTTATTCGATATTTCATACGTTATCTATTACGTCAACATTGACCATAATAATATGATTAAAATTTATTGGCATTCAGATAAATTTTGCTATTGTCAATAAGGGATCCAGACTTTCAACTTAAAATTAATCGGTGATAGATGGAGTAGTCATTCATCGTTAAATCGTTTCAGAACATTCATTTAATTTTATTCGCATGCGTAGTTATAGTAATTAATGATGCGCTCGTGCCAATATTAAGCAATTTTGAATTTATTGTTACTATGTTATTTAATATTTCATGTGTTATTTGGTTATGTCAATATTCGCCATAATAATATGATTGGTATCAATATAAATCTTTTCACAATATTAGTAAGAAAGTATCTATACTTTTTTGTATTTTTTGTATATAACGATATACATATTTTTTAAGCTATATATTTTTATTTTTTTACTTTATTCGTTAGATTTAAAAAAATAATAAATAATAATAATAATAAAATTGTTTATGCATATTTTTTCAATTCAAAATTTTGTATACAAATTATTATTTAAAAATAAAACATGAAAAATCTATCTTAATTCCAACATTTATTATTAACAAAGTCCAGACCTAATTCATTATTAGGCAGTTTATGCCATTATTATTACCGTTTTTTAAATTAAAATATTTACTATTAACAAACTCCAAACCTAATTCATTATTAGGCAGTTTATGTCATTTGTATATCAAATTCAAATGGATTGTTCTTGTTTTAATAAAATAATCATACATTAATACTAAAATATTTTTAATTTTTACTTAAATTATAAATATACTATTATACATACAATTATTTTATATATAAAATCAAATGAGAAAATATCAAAATCTCTTACACATTTTTATTAACTAATAAAATGTTACTTTATTATTTTTTAATTTACTATAAAACTTCGAATAAGACGGGGAGAGTATTATTCTTAATATTTTTAAAATTATTAGAAAAAAACACCAAAAATTTGGTAAGCCCTTTTAAAATAAATGTCCACATTATCATTGTTACTATTAAGGAAAAAAAAATAGTAACAAGCATCCAAATTTGGCCAAGCTTTTAAAGTAAGTAATTAACACTATGCTTACATATATATCCAATTTATTTTTTAACATTATTCATCTACGCTAAATTTTTAAAATATATATATTCATCAAATATATATTTATTTTGCTAAATATTTCATAAAATATTCAAATATTTATTATTTTTCAAAATTTTAGACTCCAATAATGTCTTTGTTTGTAAAAAAGTTTTGGAAATGTGATATATCCAGTGCGTTAGGCTCAAGGGTGTGTAGCCCCTAATTATTTCATTTTATTTTTGTGTGTAATATATATTTATAATTTTAAAATTTAAATAATTAATCACATCTATTGATTTCATAGAAAATTACTACTATTACAAATATTTAATTTAGTTATCCCAATATACTTATTTTTAAAACTATTAATATTTTATATTAAAAAAAAAATCAAATAAGAAAGACAAAATAAAAATTTGATTGATTCCAATTTTTAAATTTTAATAATATTATACATTTAAAAAGTTTTCTAGCCCGCGGTGGAATTTTGTTTAACTCTACCACTAAGTTAGAAATCAATGGTAGAGTTGAAGTTCGAGTTTTCAATATTAAATTTTAAATTAAAATAATTATTTAATATATTATAAATAAATATTAATATAATATTTTTAATGTAAAATTAATTTTAATATAATATAAAAAATTTATTTAATTTGACATTTTTAAATAGTAAAATTTGAGTTAAAAACCCATCAAACAAACAAAGCCCAAATATTTTCGAAACTATATCTAAATGGTGTCTACATAATTGGGCCCAACATTCAGGATTTGCCCACTAGATTTGATAGGCCCAACAAAATAAAATGTTTGGGCCGTTGTATAATTGACCCAATTCAAAATTTCATTCCGTTTCGGAAGCTATTTGTGGACGCACGTGACTGGCAACATTGAGAGGGTGTACGGATTAGTAATTTGCGTAGGAGGAACACGTGCCGGGTGGCTCCTCACAAATTTTACCTACCAGTTTGTGTTTTTCCATCGCCTGTCTGTCAATCGATACGATACGATACGATATTGTCTGGTCGAGGCACAACATACATACATGCGTCGCTAATACCATTTTTTTTTTTAAGGAATTATAAATTTTAATTTTATTTTAAATTTTATAATTTTATAATTTTAATTAAATTAATTTATTGTTTTAATTTTAATTTATAATTATTTTTATTATACGATAATTATTTTTATAAATATATTTTAATTATTTACTAGTTAAATTATTTTAAATTTTATGTATCTACTATAAATATGACACCCTAATGGAGGCGGAAAGAACATCTTTTGATTTATTTCAAATATTTATGTCTATGACTATATAATTCTTTTTTTCCGCAAAATATTGTGCTTTTTTTATAATAATACTTTGAATTTTTATATTATTCAAATTTTAAAAAAATATCATATATACTAAATTTATTTTTGTATTATAAAATATTACATTTATTATTAGGTTTTTCTTTTTGTTATTTTTAAATTTTCAAAAATTTAAAATTCTTGTATAAACAAAACTTAATATATATATATACTCCCCGTCACTGCACGATTGTTATTTTGATTTTACGTATATTAAAAATATTTTTATATTTGTATAATTTATTTTACAAATATTATTGTATTGATATTATAAGAAACTAATAAATATATTTTTATCTTTTCCTCTTGATTTGCAGTATGTTTTTTATATAATAATTAATATTCAAATATCAATACATGAAAAAAAATTAATAATAACCTTGCAGCAAGACAAAAAGAGAATATATATATTTTCGCTTTGTTCATATAGTATATTTATTTTGTTATTCATAATCAATTTATTTATGTTTTAATTTAATAAAATAATTTTCATTAGGATTTTATCGATTAAATCCAAAATTGTACTATTTTGACTTGCATGATTGTTATATAATGAATTATTTTTTCTTAAAAATTATAACACAATACTATTTAAGTAAAAAATCAATATTAAACTTACACCAAAAAAAACCTTAAATATATTTACATTTCACATCAAATTGAGGATGTAGTACTATTTTACTTTAAAATTAATCATTTGCAATTTAGAGACATGTTTATTCAGTATTACATACAACATATCAAATAAAATATTACTCCATTAGTCTGAAATAAAATTTTTTGGGCATGTAAATTAATAATAATAAAAAAAAAAAGGATTTTAATTTTTTTTATCTCTTTTTACATTTTTACTTTCATATGTGATCGTGATCAGTCGCTCAATTAATCAAATCATTTATATAATGTATGATCATAAATTAATATTTTATCCATCTAAGGTAGAAAGTATACGTATATTTATTTTGGGACGTCTAAGTGACTATTTTATT